CCCTGATTGTACGAAAAATCGTGTTTATAGCTTGTGTATCAAGGTATATCAAGGTTGTGTACCGTCTAGAGGCCACAATTTTGATGAAACTTTAAATTTATGTTTATAACACAAAGATTTTGGTTCCTTTCGATAATCACGCATATCCGAACATAAGTTCCTAGATTAGGGTCCCCGATTGTTCGAAAATTCACATTTTTAGCTCGTGGACCCTCTAGAAGTCACAATTTGTATTCAATTTTAAAAAAAACGTTTAAAAATATCACTGTTCCACATCATTGAAGGTTGAGTTCAAATTTTGTAAAAATCTGACTCAAACTGCCGGACAAAATGGCCGCTTCTTGTACGCAAATAGTATAAAAGTATGTACCGTAATACTAAGGTTGTGGACTCTCTTGTACGCAAATAGTATAAAAGTATGTAATACTAAGGTTGTGGACTCTCTAGAAGTCACAATTTTGATCCGATTTTTATATTCGCGCATTTCAGACCATAACTTCCTGAATTATGGCCCCTGATTGTGCGAAAAATAAATTTTTTGTTTTTAGCTTACTTGCTATCCATCTCTTACAAAATATGTACGTATGTTGCTTGGCAGCTGCTGGTGAGAAAAACATATGATCAGTTTTATTCACTCACATGTTCCCACAATCTGGTTAAAACACAGATCCTATTTTGTTTCATTTTTATATTCCAAAATTTGTTTTACTTGTCTTTACTACACTTGGTTCTGGAAGAGTTGTCATAGGGTCATAAGTCAGTCTTTTGACCCCTGACGTGACCTATGGCTATAACTTGTCAGATCTTCATGTAGTGTAGACCATCGAAAGTATAAGAAAACGAAACGAAATATAGATCTGTATTTTAATCAGATTGATGTTCCCAAAAATATAATTAAAAGCTCAAAAACCGACAGTTTAAATGATGCAGGACGGAGGGCCTGACAAGGACAACTGTCCCAGTCGTTCAGATGGGACAAAAAACCGAGGTCCTGTGTACACATTGGCGTACATGTAAAAGATCCCTTGACAGTTGGAATTCAAAATAAGAGTAGGCCGTAGTGCCGCTGTCCAGGCAAAATTTCCCTCATAGCACACTGTATGGCGTATGCCCGTCTTCATTAGCCCAGTTCAGAGCAGAACAGTAGGATGTTAAACCCCATTTCATTTCATTTCCGACAGTTTAATGGCAATGTTTTAATATTTTTCACCTTTTATGTTGAGGTGTATGTCAATTGATTCATCAATAATTCACTGGTTATTGCCATTGATTTGTCGAAAAATAATTCATTATAATGTAACCTGTTGTTTAACATATATTGGAGATATCGTTTATGAGTTGGAATATGAATGGAATTAGTCAATTAATCATTATATGTGAACGTGATTTTCATGATCTTTTATGAGTCAGAATTTGAATGAGATTAGTCAATTAATCATTAGATGTGAACATGATTTTCAAGATCTTTTATGAGTCAGAATTTTAGTGAAATTAGTCAATTAATCATTAGATGTTAACAGGGCTAGCACTGTCGGTCGCCAAAGTCGCAATTTGGGATAAAAATATGCAAGTGGCGATTAAAATTTGATTTTGACGATAATGTTTTGAGGTACTGGCGATTGATTCTTTTTGAGAACTGGTGGAAAACTATCTTAAAATTCTAATCGTATTTATCCTGGATTAACCATTATTGAGTGTCAATCACATGGGAAAATACTATAAATTAATCAACTGGCTGATAATCCGGATCGCGTCGATGAGTAATACTAATCATTTGTCTTTTATTAATGATTAGTTGATTGATAATTTCCAATGATATACATAAAGCCTATCTCAAGTCATTATTTACTCCTAATGATTAATTCAATCGGCGATTATTTGATGTTTTGTTTCGCCTTTAAAAAAACAAAAAAATGGTAATATGTGTAATGAAAATGGCCGTCACAGTTCCTTTCAAAGAGAATTAAATATTTTGATAGTTGAATTCCGTTTACTGTGGCTTCATATACGGCATGCCTATCAGATATCATTATTTCAAATCATATTATCTTGAGCGAGAAAACAGATCGCCATTTGTATCATATTACCGTTGCCAAAATGCTCTGAAAGTGAACGACAGGTATAATTGTAAGCATCTCTAACAAATAAACTTGTCTTCGTTTCAGTCTCAGTTCCCTAACTTTTAAAATCGACATTACAGGCCTGCTACTACATTGTGTACTCCGGTTAAAAGAAGTCATTATAATCTCACTTAACTTTAATGTACCTCCCATAGGTCACTTAAAGTTAAGTGGATTTTTCTCACTTAAACTGGCCTTTGAATACCACTAAAAGACTAAACACTTATACTTATAATGTAAGGGAGCTTAACTTTAAAGGAAAATTCAATACTTAACACTGCCTTTGAATACCACTTACCCTTAACTTACAGGAAGTTACGTACCGGTATATATAGTGTTCAAAAAAAGTAGGGGATATTTGATTTTTAAGTGTTATTAAAGTCACCTAATGAAACTGACGAAGAAACAAATGACAAAATGAAATGAAGTTCACATTCATCGATTTATTCCAAATGATCGTTAGACTAAGTAAGGCACAGACTGACCATTATAAGGGTAAAATGATACCCGGGGTCAAACAGCAAAGTTACCACAGCATCACAACCAAGTCAGTAACGGGTAAATCCTCCACTGTTTGCCAAACAAGCATTGATCCGACGTGGCATACTCCTAATGAGACGTCTAAGGTCATTTTGGTCCAGATTGTCCCATTCCTGTTGCAACGCAGCAGCAAGTTCTTGGACATTGGTAGGACGTTGTTGACGTTGACGTAACCTCTGTCCAAGCATGTCCCAGACATGCTCGACGGGGGAGAGGTCGGGACTCAGTGCTGGCCAAGGTAATGTGGTGATGTTCTGTTGTTGGAGGTAACCTGTAACGATCCTGGCCCTGTGACATCTTGCGTTGTCATCCTGGAAGATGAAACGGCGGCCATGACGTCGTGCGAACGGCACAACATGGACTGCCAAGATGTTGTCCCGGTAGTACTGGCCTGTAACACGCCCTGCAACAACATGTAAAGCCGTTCTTCCAGCAACAGTGATGCCTCCCCACACCATAACAGAACCACCTCCAAATCGATCATGTCTGATGACGTTAACGTCTTGGAAGCGCTCGTTTCGACGACGCCACACCCTCCTACGTCTGTCCAAAAAATCAACAGTGAACCTTGACTCATCTGAAAACATCACATTGCTCCAGCGTCAATTATCCCAGTGTTGACGATCCCTACACCAACAACGTCTTGCCTGAATGTGATGATCTCTCAAACAAGGGATCACGCGAGGACGTCGGGCGCGAAGGTGACCCCTATGCAGTCGATTCCGAATCGTCTGGCCACTCACTCTCACACCAGTGTCTGTTTGAAGACGAGCGCTAATCTGATTTGCTGTGATGACACGATTTCTCATGGCCAAGGTACGGATAAATCGATCCTGGGCTTAAGTTGTCGCCCTTGGTCGACCTGAGCGTGGTCTGTCCTGTACAGATTGTGTATCACGGTATCTGGACCATAGCCTGCTTATGACAGACTGAGAAACATTCATCGTCCGCGCCACAACCGCCTGTGTTGTGCCGATCTGTAGCATGCCAAGGGCACGTAACCTTTCATTTTGGGTAAGCCGATGCATATCAAAATTTGTTTTCTGGTCACTAAAACAATTAAACTGATGTTTCCACCCTGGAATTCAATGCCACAATGACTGTAACATTCAAAGTCAGAGTCGTGCAAATCTTGGGTTGGACCCCCATGATGATCCCAAGCATCACCTGCATTCCATGCGGTAGCTATTGGTACGTTTGGGCGTCACATGTAACTGGAAATGTTTCTTCTGTTAGGTTCTATAGTGACTTTTTTCGTAGTCATTTGCATATTTTAGTATTATGCCCCCAAAATCAAATATCCCCTACTTTTTTTGAATAGTATATTTAAGTGAAATCTAGTAGTTAAGTGACCATCTGAGACTTAAGATATCCTTTGAATACAGATTCAGATGTCTTTCAATTAGACCAATCATATCACAAATAGATTGCGATATATATTATTGCTCTTAATTACAGATTGTTTTTATACACCCACTTTGAATATCCGATTGACTTTAAATTTATACACGAGACCAAGAAGCCTATTGATTTTCAACAATTGCTGATAATTACTGGCCCGAGATCACTTTGAGATCCAGTTGACATTGAATTTATACGCAGTGTTTAAGGTCATGAGACGAAGAAGGCTATTGCTTTTCAATGATTTCTGATAATTACTTCCAGAGTTATGGCCCTTGATCACTTAAGAAATCTTGTAGACGTGCTATAGACTAAAGTTAATATAAATTTATACAATGTTTAAGGTTTAAACAATCAAAACAAATTCTAATGATTTCTGATAATTACTTAAACATGCATTATGCAAGAGCAAAATCTGCTCAATACAAGTCTTTCTTTAGGCCTGAAATGTTATCTAAATTATCAATTAGACATTAATTAACTTATCCAGACCGTAATAAACTCTCAATGTCAAGGCTAGCTTTCGATGTTGGCTGGATTAGATTCCTATATGTCGCTTAACGGCCATTGATAATTAAATCAAAACTGGATAATCGAGACTATGCTGTTTATATTAATGATTTTAGTAATGAGGACCGAGACTATGCGAAAATTTCACCCGTTTCGTTCTCGGCTCATAGTGGATCAATTTGACTGAAATTTTCAGCAAATTACCTTTACACTATCTAGTTTTTAACTATTATAGCGAGAACTGCCATCTCTTTATCTTATCTCCCATAATGTATCTTTAATTGGTTATTACTCATATTTTTGTGTGTTGTTTATGGTTTCATTACTGACAGAAGAAAAAATATGCCACAACCCTTGTTGACTTCCCTGACGAATTAGCTGCTCTGGGCTTATGTTTCGTTGCCTGACAACCTATCTTTTATGTTTTAGTTATGTGGACACCATGTAGCTGATAATGACACATCTACCCAGCAGACATCTCTACTCACTAGTAGACTACCAGAAGATTTAAGTAAATCAACCACTAGTCTATTAGAAGAACAAATGGCAACATCTTTTAATACTAACCAGCAGCTACAGAGTTTAATTAATGAATTCTCTTTAATTAATTCTAATATACCAAATGTTACAATTGAAGGGGTAAGTACATTGTTGTTTTGTTTGGGTTTTTTTGAAACAATCTGATTAAAACACAGATCCTATTTCGTTTCTTTTTTATAGTTCAAAATTTCGTTTTACTTGTCTTTACTACACTAGGATCTGGAAGAGTTGTTATATTACCGGCGTTCTGGTTGAAGTGAGGGATAAGCCAATGAAACAGTCTATTACAGGGAACTGTGGTCAAACCACTAGAAATATCAACGCTGATTGATTAATCAATGTCTGACGTCATAGGGTCAAAAGTTGCTTGTACGACCCCTGACACGACCTTCGAGTACCATTTGTCAGATCTTCATGTAGTCTAGGCCATCGAAAGTATAAAAAACGAAATATAGATCTGTATTTTAAGCAGATTGTCCATGAAACTAATACTGATTTTGAAATAAAACATTTGGATGGATACGATTGATATAGCACTGCATTGAAATACAAATATGTTAACATTAGCTCTGGCCATTTGAAGTTTACACTAGCACAGGGCTCATGCTGTCAGTTGCCAGAGTTGCAATTTGCAAATTAAAACTGAAATTTGCAATTGAAAATTTATTATGGCTATTATTTTGACCATAAATCTAATGGTAATTTTTGGGTGTACTGGCAATTCTTTTTAAGAATTGGGAGAAAATAAATCTTAGAATTCTAATTATATTTTATTGTGTTGAGTTGAGTGACCATTTTGTTGAGTAATCCGGAACATGTCAAAGAGTAATTGTTAATTCCTAATAATAAAGCCTTTCCTAAGTCATTATTTTTTCTTTACCACTGGCAAATTGTTCTAAAGTCAATGATGAGTCTGATGTAAGCTCCTCTTGACCAAATGAAATTGAAATTTCTGTCAATGATTTTGATTCTGATATTATTAAGTTATCTGAAAAAACATTGCTTCGAGTAGACCTATTGTAAATTCAAAGAAAGTGGAAATTTAGTAATCCTTAACTAAAATTTGCATTAAAAGAAAAATCAAAGTTTGTAAAAAGTACACAATATTGCTGCTAGCAGAAACTCTCAAAACCAATTTTTATACGCCCACATTTTCATGTGGACATAATGTCGTCTCCCCTGTCCGTCTGTCCACAATTGTTTGTGGACACTCTACAGGTCACAATTTTTATCCGATTTCAACGAAACTTGAAATATAGGTTTATCTCCCTTAGATCTTGGTTCCTCTCAATATTGGCATGTATTGGACTGTAACTTCATGGATTATGGCCCCTGATTTTACAATAAATCAAGTTTTTAGCTTGTGAACATTGTAGAGGTCAAAATTTTTATCCAATTTAGTTTAAACTTGAAATGTAAGTTTATAACCCAAAGATCTCGGTTCCGTTCGATATTCACGCATATCGGACCATAACTTCCTGAATTATTGTGTTTTTAGCTTGTGGACCTTATAGCGGTCATAATTTTTATCCGATTTAAAAAAACGTTTGAATATATCACTGTTACACCCTAAGGATGGTTCAGTTTGAATTTCGTAAAAATCGGACCAAAACTGCCAGACAAAATGGCCGCCCCTCGTTTATCTGGTATATCTAAGTTATGGACCCTCTACAGGTCACAATTTTGATCTGTTTTGATGTTTATAACCCAAAGATCTTGGTTCCTTTTGATATTTGCGCATATCAGATCGTAAATTCCTGAATTATGGCCCTTGATTGTACGACAAATCGCATTTTAGCTTGCGGTCCCTCTAGAGGTCACAATTTTTGTCTGATTGCAAAAACATTGAATATTTCTCCGCTACCCCCTAATGACGGCTGAGTTCGAATTTTGTGAAAATCGGACCAAAACTGCGGACAAAATGGCCGCCCCTCATATGCAAATAGTGTAAATATATGGTATATCAAATCAAGGTTGTGGACCCTCTAGAAGTCCGGGGGGGGGGGGGGGCGTTGGATGACGAAATGGTTAGCATGTGCGCATGGAATCATAAGGCCTGTCATTGAGTCAACTGGCGTGGTTTCGAATCCCCGGTTGACAAGGAGTAGGGTCGCCTGTCCAACCTTGTGGATTTTCTCCGGGTCCTCCAGTTTCCTCCCACTGCTAAAGACCCCTATGCGCAAGCGAATTATTGAAATAAAACTAAACCATATTGTTAGTCCCGAAATGACCTAGTTTGTGTCGAGTGGACGTTAAACCCCATTTCTCTCTCTCTTACTCTAGAAGTCACAATTTTGATCCGATTTTGATGAGACTTGAAATATATCTTTATAACCCAAAGATGAAAAATCGCTTTTTGTTTAGCTTGTTCTCTATCCATCTCTTGCAAAATGTGCGCGTATCCTGTGTGCCAGCCGCTGGTTGTTTTGAAAATATCTATGGACCACCTGGTTTGTTTTTCATATAAATATCATCTATATTGTAATAATAAATGAAATGAAATGAAATGGGATTTAACGTCCTATTGTTTTGCTCCGAACTGGACTAATGTAGACGGGCATATGCCATACAGTGTGCTATGAGGGAAATTTTGCCCAGACAGCGGCACTACGGCCTACTCTTATAGCAAATTCCAACTGTCAAGGGATCTTTTACATGCACACCAATGTGTACACGGGACCTCGTTTTTGTCCCATCCGAACGACTAGACAGCTGTCCTTGTTAGGCCATCCTTCCTGCATCACTGGCAAGGGGGAACCATGCCGGAAAATCTGGATGAACTTTCTCGGCCAATGCAGGGATCGATCACCCGACCTCCAGGCTAGCAAGCCAGCATCTTACCCACTTAGCCACATGATCCCTTTGTAATAATAAACTGTTCAACATGAGAATTAGTAGATGAAAATTTGTAATGTAAATAATTGCAAAATCAGCATATATTATATTGAATGTTAATATCCACTCATTCATTTCTAAATGTGATGCAAAATTCATTAAACTTTCAGTTATTAAAAAAAACTTTTTTTGTTAATATCATTCACATTAAAAGTTGTTTTATGGCAACACCGATAGATCCTGAGCACTACTATCAATTTTATTTATTAAATGACCCACTAATGGTTATCATAATGGTGTTAACTACATGCTCCAAATCAAGACTTTGATATTTATCGTGTTTCATCTTATCTTGCCTAATCAAAACCAAATGTTAAAATTAACATGTTTTATGACATTATCTTTTCTAGATGGATGCTGTGTATAGAAAATGTTTAGTAAAAGCTGTTAGTGGTAAAAGATCTGTCATCTTAAATTTAACCTTTCCAGCCGGTTACCCCAATGGAGAAGCTCCTGTATTTCAATTCAGTGAGACATCTCTAGATCCTAGTATGGAAAAAAAGTTATTAAAGGTACGGTAAGAAAGATGCAGTATTTACTGCTGAGGATGAAAACTATAAACAGAACATTGACCAATAGTCAGCATCATGCAAAGGATAATACAGTTACTAATTTATTTGGCAACGTTTCGAAGAGCATTCTCTGATCATTGATGTTTTATTTTTTATAATTTATCAAACATTGTCGTCTTATCAACAACTAGAAAAGGGAGATACATGTCTTTATATAACTTTATTGTACTTTTAGGTATTAAAAGACACATCGTTGAAACATGTACAAAGAAATATGGTTTGTTTAGAACCTTGTTTACGTAATCTTATATCATCATTAGATAGTTTGACGGTAAGTATTTACAACAACAACAACAAAATCCCGCACAGATTTCCAGTGCCAATTAAAAATATAAGCTATCAAATACACAAGATGGACTTTAATGTATGTTATAGTAGGGTAAATGAAGTTTCATTATCAACCTTTTTCAGAATTTTAACCTCTGTTCCACATGGCCAAAATTGAAGGTGAAAATGGGTATATTTTGTACATTTTCAATGTGCATTGAGTTTTTAGACTGAATATTTGGAAAAGTATATATCCCATCAACTCAGAATCTTTTGTAAATTGATAAAAGACAATCTGACATTAACTATGCCAATTTTGGAGATTTTGTATACAATAGTGACTTTGCCAGAGGCTGTGGAAATCCTGAAAAAAAAAGTGAATAGTTCATTTGTTCCACATTTTGCCACCTGTGTGAATAGCACAATGCGTGTGATGCTAAATTTATAATTTACAGCAAAAGTTGTCTCAGATTACATATTTGATAATTCTACTCCTATTAAAAATGTTAGTTTAAAGCTCCCCGAAAACCTGAAATTTTTTTACCCTAATGCCATATCTCAGCGAGTTTTAGACCTAGAGAGGTATAATTTTGGATTTGCTAGCTTAAGGCCATATACTATAACATATATTTTTTATGATTTTTTTGGAGGGGGTCATTTTCCAAACTTTCCGAAATTTGACATGGAATGATCCATCTATGTTTTCTTTATTTTCATCCACAACTCTTTAAATACTTTCAGCTAGAAGAACGAAGAACACCAGATACTGAAGTACCATTTGACTTGACATCACAAACTGCTGTTCAAGCCAAATCTTTTAACTCTAAAAGGTTTCGTACATCATATGGAAACTTCCAGGATTCTAATATACCATTTCCTAGAACTAGTGGGGCTAGCTTCTGTTCAGCAGGTAACACACACTATTATTATACACATCTGTTTAAATTTCTTTTGACTCTTATCAGGATTCTTCAATGTAACTTTCCAGTATTGAATTCTCTCTATATGGAAATTTGGGGTGAAAGGACCGGTGCTGGATTAACCTAGTAGCTATAGTAGTATATGCTACAGGCAATGCAGTTCCAAAGGCCTGCCCTATGTATATAAACTATCAATTATTGCTCTATTGCTCGCACTATACTGCCTTCAACTTGTATGTGTTCCAAATGTAGAAAATGTAACTTTGAAGTTGCTATCTTAGTAATACTATTAATTAAATGTGGGATATATTTGTCATATTATTTTCTGGCTGTATAGCAAATCAAGAAATTTAATTACTTTACTGTGTAAGTAAAAAAATTGAAACTTCATGGATTATGGCCCCTGTTTGTACGAAAAATCACGTTTTTAGCTTGTGGACCCTATAGAGGTCACAATTTGTATCCGATTTTTTTTGAAACTTGAAATGTAAGTTTTTAACCCAAAGATCTCAGTTCCTGACGATATTCGCGCATATCGGACCGTAACTTCCTGAATTATGGCCCCTGATTGTACGAAAAATCGTGTTTTTAGCTTGTGGACCCTATAGAGGTCATAATTTTTATCCAATTTAGAAAACGGTATTATTATATCATGGTTACCCCCTAAGGAAGGTTGAGTTCGAATTTCAGGACCGCCGATTGTATGCGAATAGTGTAAAAATATGGTAAATCAAGGTTGTGGACCCTGTATAGGTCACAATTTTAATTCGATTTTGATGAAACTTGAAATGCATGTTATAACCTAAAGATCATGGTTCCTTTCGATATTTGCGCATATCGGAAAGTAACTTCCTGAATTATGGCCCTTGATTGTAGAAAAAATCACTTTCTTTTTAGCTTGTTCTCTATCCATCTCTTGAAAATGTGGGCGTATCCTGCCTGGCAGCCGCTGGTTTACGGTTAAAACTGTTATGTCTGTCTGTCTGTCCTTTCCATCTGTTCGTCCACCCTTTTCATGATACAATAACTTTGATTTTAATTAAGCTAAAATGTTCATTGGTATATATTTTATTAGGTGAATGCATTGGCTGATTTCAATGATGAGCAATTTCTGCTTAGGCTAAGCAGGGTTAAACAATTTCATATGTTCATAGTGAGAGTGATGAAACTTGGTGTATAGTTTCACTCCATCAAAACTTGGACTAGGTTCAATGAAGATCTTTTTCTGCTTAGACTAAGTTTGATTGCTCAATACTTTACAAAAAAATAAATGTGAAAGTAATTAATAAATGTCATCAGTTTATTTTGTGCTTGAGATGGGGAACATCAACCCCATTATTGGTTTGTTTTACCTGGTAAATGTTTGATATCATGGTGTATAGTATAATAGACATTGTTGGAATTTAGGTTATTTAGTTGTATATGGTAGGCCAGCTGATCTGAAAAAGTCCAGTGCAGATGTTACACCAAAGTAAGTAGAGTTGTTTCTTCTTGCCTAATATAGTCTGGTCGGGGTGGAAAATTTGCGGGAAGAAATTCCTACCCAAATGATTTCTTCATTTTCTGAAACAACTATGTCCCTAGTGTTCCAGAAAAATTTTCCCCGCCGATCGGAGTTGAGCAAAATTTTTTTACAGCATTTTGAAATTTTGACCAGCAGCCATGCATGTTAAAACAAATAATAGTCACAGCAGGGAAATGTTTCTAGAATCACCATGGGCGTTATGTTCTTTAGGACGGCCACTTCTGGAAAGCTTGTAAGTATTTCATATAATAGTACAACTCAAAATATTTAATACCATATCATTAAAAAAACTTACCAGTCACAATATTTTTCACCTCCGCATAGTTGTGAATTTCGATCTGCTAAGTATATTAAGTGGCATGGTTAGTGGGCCCAGCAGTTTGGCGTGTTGCCAATCATTTAGGGGTGGAGGCCCAACATGTCTTGCACTGTTCAATCTTTTAGTGAAAAAATTCTAAATAGGGAAATTTGATTGATTAGACTACAAACTCCCTTGTGACTGTTTTGTTATACTGTACTTCACATATTTTGTAAATAAAATAGAATGAGAAATCATGTTAACCACCTGAAAATAAACAGATACCGGATAATTTGGTCCCTCGCCAATCGTCGTGTTCAGCGTCTATGAACCAAATATTAAGGATCATGAGCACGAGCGCCGAGCTGCTACGTCTAAATATAGGAGCAGTGACATTTCTCTGAAATCGGACACCACAGTTATCTATAGTCAAGCCCAGTTTCTGGCCAACACTGAAAACAAAATCCGTCTAATCAATCAAGTGGTCAACGATCTTGAATTTTGACATCACAGTGACGTCATAGTTCCGCCATTTTTTATTCTGACGTCACGGTGACGTCGTACGCAAAGCCCTGTATAGGGAAAGTTACGACAACTCGTTTACAGGCGCCATTTTGGTGTCCCAACTATAACGCCATAAAAACTATGGCGTCATGGCGTCATATAGCTTTACTTAACAAAACGTTTTTCTTGGTATAACGTTTTACGGGCTACAGTTCATCATAAACAAATTGCAAAAGTAACCAATGCAGTTTGGTTCAATGATAAATATGTCAGACGAAATCATACTCAAATTCGGCCAAAATGACATGATTAACAGAATTCAATTTGGTGTTCTTCAGGAATTTTCGGAGAGTGGTTATGCAAGCGAAATGTGTGGAAAAATCGAATTTGACAAACATCAATAAAAAAAATGTATTTGTCATTTGGTGGCGGGCATTTCTTTCAATATGACTGCCAAATTTGGTAAAAGAATATCATTTTAAAAAATAAAAATTAAAATGAAAAAAACAACATTAATTTGGTAATAAAAGGGCAGCGATAATTCATTTTAGGTACATTGAAATGTTGGCAATAAAGATAATATCATAGTTTTTAGTTACACACTGTTTACCAACCACCCATATAATCCTTTAATGACAATAAATCATATCCTTTATTCAGCTCGACGCTATACCGGTATTTAAAATGATTAGATGCAGTTCGTTTAACTTGAATGTAGATATTATATATCTATGTTGCATATATAGGACTTTTCGGTTGAATCATATCTTAGAAGTATCTTATTTCATAGTTTTACGTATTTGTCGACATTATAAAGGTATACTTGTTCTATTGTTTCATTTAGCCTATGTGTTTTCTTGTTTCACTTGACTAAACAACTAAACACAAAATTTTGTAGGAATGTATATAGGCTTTTATAGATTGAAAAAAAAGCTGATAAAAATTGAGATGTGTGGAACATGTTCGAGGCGATTTGTAACAAATCTCAGACACGATATATATTTGATACTAGTTGAGCATCAGAACAACATGATTATTTCATTGGAAATGGGGCGCAAATAGCCAAAAGAGTCCTTCACTGGGCCCCTTCAATATCTGTCTACATGTGGAATAACATGTACATTATTTGTATCTGTTAAATTTTTGCGGTTTATATATTAGAGCGATATCTCGTATAAAATGTCACTGATGAAACATATGCCCGAAACACATGTCACGCTAGACACCTTTTATTTGAATTACACTGATTTTACACTGATTTTAAGTTACACTGATTTTAAATGTTTTATCCATTAGTCAATTTAAAGAAATTTCTATTTTCGAAAAATTGATGATACAATTAATGATTGATGACTGAAAACTGACACACAATCCGGAATGACTCCAGACCAAAAATCATGGAATTTCAGGCATTTATTTTGCCGGCTAGAAGGCAAAAAGGTTGTATCTCCCAAATTACTATTTAAATTTTCATTTTTCACTTTACCCGTCTGCACAAAAAATCTTATTTTTAAAAGCGTATGCAATTTAATTGCGCTTTTATTTGGTGTATCTTTTATTTCACTTTCTTATGAATTAGACTATTCTTATAACAATAATGTGCGCTTTCTGTATAATAATAATAATAATAGTTTGTTCAGCTATACTTTTCGTTTAAAAAATGTATTCTATGACATATCTATATACATACTTGTCGGGGGCAGCCAACTTCGACACAACAATAAAATAGATAGTGGGTAGGTACAAATACTTGGGACCCAAGATGGCGACTAACTACACTTGAGGTCATATTTTCATGACGTCATATGAAATTTCTGGCTTCACAATTGTCGCAACTTTATCTATAATATTATACGGCTTTGGTCGTACGTTATTTTTGACGTCATTTCTGGATTCCTTGGTATCACTTTCCTTTATGTTGATAATACATTTCTAGACTGTAAAATTGATATTTTTGAAGTTATAAATGGTTTTCATTTTCATTATGTTGACCCAGGGGGTGAAAAGTTCAAAGTGCTGTAAAAAAATTTGCTCAACTCCGATCCGCGGGGAAAATTTTTCTGGAACACTAGGGAAATAGTTGTTTCAGAAAATGAAGAAATCATTTGGGTAGGAATTTTTTCCCACAAAGCTGGATTTGTCACCTTCTCCAACCAGCCTAATACCTTTATGAGTAACAATAATATAATACTCTAAAATCCACTTGTTTACAAACTGAAACTACATCATTCTTGTTTACAAGCTGAAACTACATCATAAACTTTATTATGCCATTTAAATTGACCATGTAGTATTTATTGTGTTTTTTTAGGTGAAGAAGAGAATTTGCCCAAATCATATATTAAGTTCATTATATCCAGACATTACATTATTAAGCCCCGATAAGTATGATTGTTTTTGTTTTTTTGTTGTTTTGCTTACAGAGCTTTATCTGATATGGTTGTATATAATCAAGTACACAGAATGAAGGCTCCCCAGCCCCAGACACCCTATGTAGCTATGTTTTCTTGCAGTCCCCCTCCTGCTGCCCAGATGATGGAATATCCTTGTACAATATCTAACTTTTATACATATAAAGAGAAGGTAAATGGTCCAAAATAATAATTTAAAATGTTTTATGGTCACAGTACAGAATCAGTTACTCCTTGTTTTACAACATTCATGGTTATATCTCTGGCAATATGAATACAGGATTAATGATACACAATGATAATGTTTGATACTATGTACCAAAAAATATCATTTTGGAAAGGTATTATCTGGTTTCTATTTTTTCCAAAATACAACTGATTAGGTCTAATTAATTGCCTTTGACTTGCTTGGTATGATGGCATCCTTAGTACCATCACAATACAGTGAGAACAAACATAACCTGAGATAATAAAATCAACAAAGGGTTATTTACATAGTCGAGAGCATATATTCATTAGCAACACGGGAATAACGCCTCCACTGAAGGGCTGGGTGATTTTCACTGTAGGTCATCAGCCAATCAGTGGAATGTTCCTCAATGTAAAATGAAACATCTAAAGGAATAGTAATCAGTCTGTACATGACCTTGTCTATTATATAGAGACAAAGAACAAGAAGTAGAAGTAAACACGTAAAAGATATACCTGATATACCTAGAAGAGAACCAAATAATGTTAAATCTACTAAATCTAAACCTAAAGTTGGTGTTGTACGAATCTATGATGCCAGTAATTTATTACCTATTCATAGACAATTAGCTGAAAAATACATGTAAGTAATGTCGACATTGAATTTTTATATTAAATGTATCTGATTTGGGAATAGAGTATTAGAACTTGATCGATCAAGATGAATACATAATATATGTTGTAAAATGATGTGGTTATTTTTATATGAACAGATGTTTATTTTTTGTTATTTTAGTTTGGATGTTAATGATGTATCTAACATGTGTTCGGCTAATGCTAATGCAGCATCAGCAGTTGGTAGAAAAGATTTAGTACAGGTTTCGTATATTAATTCCTACTCTAGGCGATTTCATAATTTACTAATTTTACTTTAACCAGTTGTTTAAACAGGCATTATGTAAGAGATATATCTGTCTATTGCAGGTCTTTCTTCGGGCCTTAAATGTTATATGAATTATTAATTAGGCATTTATTAACATGACAAGACCAGAATCAACTCTCGATACCATCGGACGGCTCCAATCTTAAGTAGATTAGAATGTTCGGCCATTGAACTGTCATGGGTTTGTTTACGTGCACGATAACATGAACAGGGGACCCTGGTTTTTCATCCCATCCATAAAAACTAGATAATGTCCTTACCAGGCCTTCCTTCTAACACCACTGCCACGGGGGGATCAACTCAAGAAAGTCCTGATTAGTGAGCTAGTGCCATACTCACTGAGCCATTGCTGCTCCCCTGCTCCTTTTCATCTGGATAAATGAGTTAGAAAAGCAATTTAGTGTACCAGTAATATATTTTATAAATTGTTTCATCTTTATTTATTTTTAGTTATGGTCTTTAGCAGCAGCCATGCATGTTAAAACAAATAATAGTCACAGCAGGGAAATGTTTCTAGAATCACCATGGGCGTTATGTTCTTTAGGACGGCCACTTCTGGAAAGCTTGTAAGTATTTCATATAATAGTACAACTCAAAATATTTAATACCATATCATTAAAAAAACTTACCAGTCACAATATTTTTCACCTCCGCATAGTTGTGAATTTCGATCTGCTAAGTATATTAAGTGGCATGGTTAGTGGGCCCAGCAGTTTGGCGTGTTGCCAATCATTTAGGGGTGGAGGCCCAACATGTCTTGCACTGTTCAATCTTTTAGTGAAAAAATTCTAAATAGGGAAATTTGATTGATTAGACTACAAACTCCCTTGTGACTGTTTTGTTATACTGTACTTCACATATTTTGTAAATAAAATAGAATGAGAAATCATGTTAACCACCTGAAAATAAACAGATACCGGATAATTTGGTTTGATTTATAGATAGAATATACTTGGGCCACCATATTTCCACAAGATAGATTTTACTAAACTGGAGATGGTGAAATTCCACTGTAAATATATATGTTATTCTATTTGCAGATTAGATCATTATTGTAAGATACAAGATATACAGACTGTAGCTATGTTATGTTGTATGTTCTGGACTCGTGAAACAATAGCCAAACCAAAAAGATCCATTTCTAAAACTTCTATGGATTATTCTCCAGCTAATGTAGGTCCTTTCATATTTTTTATCTAGCATATTGAAAAAACATGCATGTTTAAATCCTTCCATCATATATCTCAACCCTAATGAAAATATTTTCATTTCTGGAATGTTATATGATTATTTTATCCTCTGATAAACTTTCCGTGAGATGATTGTCCTTATATGAATGGGTGGATAATTTTCGGACAATATTGTGTATATTGTGTTCATATATAACAGTCATTGCTTCTTCCTGCAGTCAAGATATACTGTTTCGCACAGCTCTAATAAATTTCTTGATGATTTGGTTACTTATAACTAGGACAATATTTATTCAAGAATAATTTGCTCTTTTACATTAAATACTTATACAACAAGCATCTAATTAAGTAAATAACTAGTCTAGGCTTCTGCACAAAAGTTTTCAGATATATTATTATTAGATAAAATTAAAGAATCCCCGCCAAACAGAACCAGCAACAGACTTGTAGATTTAAAAGATCTTTATATCAATCCAACGTTTCAGGTGCAATACCCTTTTTCAAGAATGATTTTTTATCTATTCTACTGCTCCGCCCCGCCGGCATCATTTTTTGATCCAGATCCTACGCAGATGTACCAGCCTGTCCAGCTTTTCTACTTATTTAAGGGAGTGTTGCCGTACCCCTCCTCGTTTTCCAATATATTATTATTCTTAATATGATCTTAAAATTATATTGGTTTAACATATTCTATCGGTAGGTCAAACCTGTGGACAATGTCCTTCAGTATACATAAATATTCTACTGTTCTATATCTCTAAATTACTCATATAAAACTGATTAAATACACATATAAACCACACCGTGTAATATACTTCTTTATACAAAAAGGTTCACTATTAGACAACCTTAAAAAAGTGTGCGTTTCTCCGACAATTGCCTTTTGAAAAAGATGCATGGTAGGTAGAATGATTTATTTGAGGGATCTAATATATTTTGATCACTGCAAACTAGTGCTCCTACGGTTAGGACTTTTTGTTATTCGAATAGCCGTAGCTATTAACCGGTTAGTAACCGTTTAACCGTATGGTATCAATTTTAAACATAAAACAGAGCTTGTCAGGAGGTGTGAGTCATTACTCGTGCGTGCTATACTCGCCTAAAAGGCATTACCTGTGCAAAAATTTCAGGAATTTTTTCATAGACATGTACAATTCTTTAATGAAAATTTAAACTATCTAAGGTCGTAGTTATTTGTTTACCTGGTTAACTTGGTTCATTTGAAACATTTTTTAATTCAATATATATCTACGATAATATACAATCAATACTCTGTTTCCCTTCGTACGTGACATTTGGCAATAATAATTATGATTACACAATGTTACTAAGAATAGAATAAAGTAAATTGGAAGGCGTCTATTGATTGGACAATAAAGAAATAATTCCTCGCTTGCAAGTAGAATTTTTATGATTGCTTAATTTAACTAAGAACCAAAGTAGAATTCTTGCGAGAAATTACGAGATATGAAATGTGTTGAATGTCGTAACGAATCTAGTATAATGTCATTTTCTAGCCTTTATGATTATATTTTGAATGGTGGTTACGTTTTTAAGTAAATAGTAAACAAGGTAGAATATAGTTAGAAATGCCGAGAAGTATTTAGATTGGATTAACAATAGCTAAAGTCATAACCAGGTCCGTTGACTTTGCCGTATGACTACGGCGAGTGCTATTAATAGTAATAATTTTTTAGCAGTCGACATCGTAGGACGACTGTTACATTCTAAGATTTTCAAACACCAAATGACAACGGGCAAGTTTTGTTATAATGAGGAATAATGGGGGAAATCTCCGAATAACCGTACCGTTGAATTCGAACCGTTTAACCGTCCAGTTATAACTGTTTACGGCTATCCGACTATCCTTAGGAGCACTACTGCAAACTACCATAAAACCCAATATCTTCAGGATACATTTTAGATCAGTCAAGCAGTAATAAGAGTTCAGTTAAAAGTTAAATATTTCAAGGGCTAAAAAAAGACAGTTACCTTTCTTTGTATTTTGATAATTTTTCAAAAATTTGTGTTATATGCCCCATGATGATAAAATGATTGGATGGCCTTGCCTGACAACCATACAATATTTTGGGCATGATCTAATAAGGATGCGCACAAATAGTGAAAGTGAAATATCTTGTCTAGGGGATAATGACATTTGTTGTTACTTTCTGTTTTATTTTGGCATTAAAGGAACTGTCCTAGATTTTAAGAGGTATCAATAGTCCAGGCAAGAAAGCATTAGTGCAGGCACTTGCTGCAATAGAAATGCCGACCACCGTTTAAGGTCGGTCTAGACCTATATTATCACCAAAAAAAAGGTCCCAGTCCGAAATTCGTGCCCAAATGAGTCAAATTGGCCAAAATCCAAAATGGCTGCCGGTTTTAGCTAGTAAATTCCAATTTCCACCCAATTATCATAATATGATGGAGTTCGGTATCAAAATATACTTTTTCAAGGTACCTGAATCCATTGCCATACACACTTTTGTGATAAGTTTTACTGCTGAGTCAATATTGGGGGTTATTCAAGATGGCTGTTAGTTTTGGTGCTTAGAGGTATGTCGATTGGGGCCACTCCCAGGTCTTTGCGGAAGTTGATCATGCCTATTGAAGTATGTGGCGAATTTAATTCACAAAATGATTCAAATGTTGAGACACAGATGGATACAGTATCGCCTGTTTGTCAGATATGCAATGAACCATTTGATAATGATCAGCCCACCGTTTTTCCGAAAAATTTCGACAGTCATCTTAAATACTCAAGGAAATGCCCACTCAAAATGAAAACATTGTGCCCCTTTTTTCTGCTGCCCTTCCCTTGTTCATACCAAATCCAGAGATACTAAAAACCAGTTGCACTCAATGTACATACAGAATATGTCCGTTTTTCATGATGATCTAACGGCCCCACACAAGCCCAATCAGACCCTGATTTCCACAGATGACTTCCAGAATAGATTTCACAGCCGGATTAGTAATTCCATAATATTCAGAATCAATTAATTTGTCTTAGTTTTATTTATTTATAGAGAGAGAGAAAGAAATGGGGTCTGACCTCCACTCGACACAAACTAGGTCATTTTGGGAATAACATGGTTCAATTTTATTTCAATAATTCGCTTGCGCGTAGGGGTCATAAGCAGGGGGAACCAGAGGACCCGGAGAAAACCCACGAGGTTAGACAGGCGACCCTATTCCTTGTTACGTACAACCGGGGAATCAAAACCATGGCAGTTGATTCAATGACAAACCTTATGATACAGCGCGCACATGCTAACCATTTGGCCATCCAACCCCCCTTATTTATATATCCACATGAATTTAGTTCTTGATTGCAGCTAATTATGTTCATGTTCAGATCTTTAGGACATAATCATAATCCCTTAACCCTGTTTTCCAACATGGTTTTCTCTTGTCAGTGGTGCAGGACGGAGGGCCTGACAAGGACAACTGTCTAGTTGTTCAGATGAGACGAAAAACCAAGGTTCTGTTGGCAGTTGGAATTCGATATAAGAGTAGGCCATAGTGTCGCTGCCCAGGCAAAATTTCCCTCATAGCACACTGTATGGCGTATGCCCATCTTCATTAGCCCATTTCATTTCCTTAACCAAGTGTTAATGTATTTTATGTCATGGGTCACATAACCGACAAATCCATTCTACCACAGAACTCAAATTTTCCTGATCCTGCCCCCCCCTCCTCACCCTCCCAAGTGCCCTAACTTTGGTCTGCCTACCCTCATTCGGAGGCCCTAGCACACCCTCGGCTCATTGTCGAACTTAGTCATCATGACTTTATACCAAGTTTTATTCTGTCCTTCAGACTGGGACTTTTTTTGGTGATAATATACATCTAGACCGGCCATAAACCGTGGTCAGCATTTCTATTGCAGCAACTGTCCAGAATGGTGCGGAATTGAGTTCAAATGCCTGGACTACCATTGATACAAGTGCGTATACTATAAGTATGCACAAAGGGTCTCTGAAAAAAAAATTTGGCTTATTGTTTATGTGTAGTGAATAAACCGATAAATATGACTTCATTATGTCAACTACTGACAGTTTGGCAACTATTAAGAAATAAAAATTATTTGCATATCTTAAAATTATTGACACAGCACTTCAGCCAATTACTTCATATTAGCAAGATAGCTTTTTAGTGATATTCCCATTTTAAAATATGCACTAGCATAAAAGTTTCAAAGTGTTTCTCACATATAATCCACCTGTTTTATTTGCTAAATATATTTGTGACGGCTCCTTTAATGAAGAAATATTTCTTGTTCTTGTTTTTTTACTTATTCATTTTAATTAATTTTATTCTTTCTTTATTCTCTTTTTATAAACATTTTCTCTTTGATCAGGAGAGTCTTTTGGCAGTGATTATTAAATTTCAAAAATCAATCTTTTTGTCTTCTGAAAAATATTTAGATCTTTATTTTGCATGTCAATGTAAATTTATGGAATATGATTATTATATATCAATAAAATCGTCTATAGATTGATATGATATTTGAAAATTTAAATCATGCATGATAAAATGATTGTCATGTTTTTACTACGCTTAGACTGATGTGGGCATTAACTACATGTATCTAGGATCTAGTGCCGATAGTGGATGGAATATTTTACGTAAGTCTCCACACACACTTTTCATCTTCTTGTCTTAACTCTTTGTTTCATTATTTTTTGTGGTGGCCGCTTGGTAGACATATTATAGTAATAACTTTGGAACATTTCTAAAATGACATGTGTATTATATGCTTTTGAAGTTGAAATATCAGATGTTTTGAAAAGATTATTTCCAAATAAAATGGCTTTTGAAGTGTTTTACAAAAGTTCCAGTATTATTATTATAATATGCCTATTAAACTTTTGTTATATTTTTAATTATGTTGTTATTATGGCTGGGGCTAACTCGTATTTTAATTTTCAGACATATTTTGAAGGTTTGTATAAAATAGGAACTGTAGATGCAAGAGTTAACAGCTTAATACATATTAATTACTCCCTAGTTATTTCCTTTTTTTTGTCCCCCGCCTTTCGAAGAAAGCAAGGGACTCTTAAAATGGGCTCATTCATCTGTCCGTCCGTCTGTCTGTCCGTCACACTTTTTGGCACACAATAACGCTCCTTCTAATTGAGCTAGAATGTTCAAACTTGGTGTAAATGTTTATTAGGTCAATGCCTTGATGGAGTTCAAAGATGAGCATTTTTCTTCTTAGGGTAAGCAGAGATAAGCAATTTGATTGGTTGATGCTTTTAGACACGATAACTTTAGTTCTAATTAAGTGAGAAATGAAATGAAATGAAATGGAGTTTAACGTCCTACTGTTCTGCTTCTAAGCTGGGCTAATGAAGACGGGCATACGCCATACAGTGTGCTATGAGGGATAATTAAGTGAGAGTGATGAAACTTGGTGTATAGTTTCATTACATCAATACCTTGACAAAGTTCGATAATGAGCATTTTCTGCTCAGGGTAAGCAGAGGGATAAGCAATTTGATTGGCTGAGTCTTTGGAACACAATAACTCTCATTATAATTGAGCTAGAATGTTCACAATTGGCGTGGGTGTTATTAGGTCAATAACTCTCCTTCTAAATGAGCTAGAACATTCAAACTTGGTGTAGGTGTTTATTACGTCAATGCCTTGATGGAGTTTCAAGATGAGCATTTTTGCTTGGGGTAAGCAGAGATAAGCAATTTGATTGGTTGATGCTTTTTGGGACTGGATAACTTTAGTTTGGGGGGTCACGGTGGCTAAGTGGGTAAGACACTAGCCTGGAGGTCGGGTGTTCGATCCCTGCATTGGCCGAGAAAGTTCACCCAGATTTTCCGGCGTGGTTCCCCCTTGTCAGTGTTGCAGGAAGGAGGGCCTGACAAGGACAGCTGTCTAGTCATTCGGATGAAATGGAAAACCGAGGTCCTGTGTACACATTGGCGTGCGCTTAAAAGATCCCTTGACAGTTGGAATTCGATATAAGAGTAGGCTGTAGTGCCGCTGTCCGGGCAAAATTTCCCTCATAGCACACTGTATGGCGTATGCCCGTCTTCATTAGCCCAGTTTGGAGCAAAACAGTAGGACGTTAAACTCCATTTCATTTCATTTCTAATTAAGTGAGAGTGACGAAATTTGTTGTATAGTTTTATTACATCAATACCTTGACTAGGTTCGATAATGGGCATTTTCTGCTCATGGTAAGCAGAGCGATAAGCAATTTGATTGGTCGAGACTTTGGAACACAATAACTCTCATTATAATTGAGCTAGAATGTTCACACTTGGTGTAGGCATTCATTAGGTGAATGCCTTGATGGAGTTCGATGATAAACATAGTCTTGTCTGCTTACTGTAAACAGAGCTAAGCAATCTGAATGGCTGATGGTTTGGGACACGATAACTTTGGTTAGGCTATAAGTAAGTGAGAGTGATGAAACTCTGAGTATAGATTGATTATATCATTACCTTGACTAAGTTTGATGATGAGAATTTTCTGCTTAGGCTAAGGAGCGATAAGCAATTTGATTGGTCAAGACTTTGGAATGTAACAACTCTGCCTTTAATTGAGGTAGAATGTTTAAACTTGATGTAGATATTCATTAGGTGAATGTCTTGACTGTGTTCAATAATTAACATTTTGAGCTACAGCTAAGCTAAGCTAAGCAATTTTATTGATCGATGCTTTGGCACAAGATAACTTTGATTCTGTCTGATAGAGAGTGATGAAACTTAGTGTATAGTTGATAATCAGTTTGATTGCTTGATACTTTTGAAAAAAAAAAATATGCGATTAATTAATATGTGTCATCTATTTATTTTGGGATTTCAGCGGGGGACATCAGCCTCACTATTGGCTTGTTTCTTTAGATTCTTCTTTGGTGATTGGTTTCAAGATCCTGTCTTTAATTTACTGTTTTTTAGTTTTAGCTCCATTCAAATTTATATCATAAATTTATTCACCATATTGCCAAAAATTGGTTGTCTACTCTCTTACATTCTATTTTAAACACTTCTGCACAGCTCTTTCTGATTGTTTATTGATTCATTCAATGCAAATATTTATTTAAAATCTGAAGAAACTCTTCAGCAGAATAGTGTCAGAATTGTCACCATTTTATGATTCAGTAGGGTTGCAATTTATTAATTTATGTTAGATGTGTGTCTTTGTAATTTATGTTACATGTCTGTTTTTGTAATGTATGAGCATGTGTTACTGTTGTTTTTAATTATTTAGTTGTAAGTTGAATACTATAAACAAGAAAATAATGCGTTACATGTGACTCGTCACCAGTCATATGAATTCCAATACCTGTTTTCATACCGTCACTCCAACCAACTTTTATGTGAATGCTCTAATAACTACAGTTCTGATCAGGTAGTGTCCGTGTGGTCAAAATTGTAAAGTTTCCTATTGCAAATTTTAAAGTTATCACATCATTTAATTTCAAACTTATGTTGTAGTTATGAAAACTTGTGAACCTAATCAAATTCCAAAATATGCTGATGGATATTATCGGTAATATTTTGACTTAAAGCTTGTGAATGTGATGCAGAACAAAGCTCTCAATGGAATTTTTTAAAAACTTATTTTAAAAATTTAATGAATTGCTCAAGCAAAGTAATAAGCAATTTGATTAGTCGATACTTTGGATCTCGATAACTTTGATTCTATTTGAGTGAGAGTGGTGAATCTTTGTGTATATAATGGTTTCATTACATCAATATCTCCTTCTAATTGAGCTAAAATGTTCTAACTTGGTGTAGGTGTCTATAAGGTGAATGCCTTGACAGCGTTTGACCATGCACATTTTCCACAAAGTTTAAGTAGAGGTAAGCAATTTTATTTTTTGAGACTTTGGAACACAGTAACTTTGGTTCTACTCTGGGTATAGATTCATTATATCAATACCAATACCTTGACTAAGTTCGATGATGAGAATTTTCCGCTTAGGCTAAGTAGCAATAAGCAATTTGCTGGTCAAGTCTGGAACATAACACCTCTGCTTTTGATTGAGGTAGAATGGTTAAACTTTGTGTAAATGTTTATTAGGTGAATGTCTTGACTAAGTTCAATGATCAACATTTTCCGCTAAAGCTAAGCAGTGCTAAGCAATTTCATTGGTTGATGCTTTGGGACAAGATAACTTTGATTCTAACTTATGGAGAGTGATGAAACTTGAATATAGAGTTTCACTACCAGGTATTTCAAAACCTTGACTGACTTTGATAGTGAACATTTTATGCTTAGACTAAGTATAGATAATCAGTTTGATTGCTTTATACTTTTCAAAAAGATAAATGTGCAATTAATTAATATATGTCATCTATTTATTTTGGGATTGCAGCAGGGAACATCAGCCTCACTATTGGCTTGTTTCTTAAAATAATGCACTGTAAATCAGTATACCGGTATTGTAACCCAAACAAGAAAATGAGCAGTCGCGATTAATTAGATGGCAAGCTAATAAGGGTCATAAATAGCATACATGTATTTATGTTGACACCCTAAAGGACACATTAATGTCATAATGCGTTAATTTCTTGTCTTAAAGATACATTATTCAAGAGCTAAATTCGCCTATTGCAATTCTTTTTTATAGGCCTTAAATGTTATATAAATTATTAGACATATATTAACATGACAAGACCATAATCAACTCTCGATGCCATCGAATGCTCAAGATTTTAACTAAATTAAAACTGATTATACTAGTAGCATGGTTACAATAATTCACACATCTTGTCAAAACTACAAACAGTGATAACTTGACCCAGAATAAAGTAATTTGAATGAAATTTTAAATATATTCATCTTGCATTATCTATTTTTGAACTATTATAGCAATAACGGCCAACGTACATAATGTATCTTTAAAGTATTGTGCTGTGCTGTGTTAACATTGAGATCAATGTCCAAATAGGACTAGGTCAATGTGAACATAGCTTTAGTGGCAGAGATATTGTTACTTTAAGTTGTTACTTTGATATAAAATTAACCTAATTCTTAACCCTTAAGACTAATGTTGACCTTGAATTTAATTGAACACTGTATGAGGAAAGGCCAATAAAAGAATCAAATTTGATTATGCGTGTTTGTAATAAATAGATGGAAAAAATGATAGTGAACCAAGTTTGTTCTGATGAAGATGCTGGGGTTTTTTTTGGGAGCAGGAGGTGGGGGGGATTCTCAAAAATTTCAATACATATTAGAGCTCAAGTATATTTCGGGTACAGTGCAATATTTAGGAAACGTGAGAACCTCTTCCAGTAGCTGGTACATGTATCTTATTAGTTCTGCTATGTAGCTTTAATTAATGTTTAAGTTTGAGATTCAAACAAAATTTGCAAGTTAGATAATGTTATGGCCGACCTGTTACCAAATACAAATCGATTATAATGCAGATGGTCTCAGAGGCAGGAAATTAGCAGCATAAAATCAATAGAAACCAATATAAGATAGAAATGACCATAACTTCTGTTATGATTGATCAGTTTAGGGGGTCAGTAAGGATACTTTTGATATAATGGGTATTGTGTGTTTTCCTTTTAACAGATATTTGTAAATAGTAACTCAGTAGTTTTTGTAATTTGTTTCAAAGAAATCAACATAGACCTGATAGATTAATTAAATGGATGACTGGAAAGAAATTTTAGATTCTTTTAATACAGTAACTGTTATTGATTAATACTTGATTCATTGATTACTTTATTTGCATAACCTCTTCAAAATTGTAATGCCATTTATGCAGTCAAAACTGAGATACTCGGTGTCATTTCGTAACTGTGAAACAAGAATTTCAAGGAAGTGGATCCATGAATTTTTGTTTAGTAAGGACCTCTTGGACTCAACCGGAAAAGGGACATTTGCCCTTCTCTTTGACAGATCTTTACTAAATATTTTGTTTTCTCATTTAGTTACATTTATTTTTAATGTGTAGATCCTTGTGTATGTCGTAGTGTTATGATAACTTGACAGTTATAATAATCTATTTAAAATCATACAGATTTAAATATATTGTTGGTCTACAGTCTACACTATACATACTATCTTGTGTAAATTAAAACAACGTGAAAGACAAATGAAATAAATAAAACTATAGTCTAATTTTAATTAGTCAACAATGTGGGTGATGTTAAATGCAACTATTCAACATGCATATCCTAAAGAATGTAGTTAAGATTTTATATGACAATCCAGCTAAATATAGGTTCATTAATATTTATATAAAACAAATATATAACAGCATGCAATAAACTAATAAATATTCACCACAGAAATTACACATAGCTAGTGTGCATGTATGGCATGAATTGACCTAAAACATTCTTTTTTTTTCCATTTCTGATAAGTGAAAATCTTAGGAAACTGCTGCTTTCTATATCAGTTCTGTTACATTTGCCTTCTTTATTATTGTTTTGCTTTTTTCCTGTTATTATGCATTAACAGTGAGAACTTTTATTAAGGGATTAACATATTTATGGTAGAAGCTGGTTAACTCTTGCTGTAGAAATCCACGGAACACGGCACTAGATACCTAATAACTTAATTACTAGGGTATACGGGTAATAACATATATGTAGATGTCATTTAAAATAAAAATATTCTTACTTTTCTTTCACAGTATAACCCTTATCATACTGTTAGTTCTGTATCAAATCTACTAAAAGGAATAAAGACGAGTAAGTTATATAACTATAAAAGAGTGCTTGCTGTAATCCTAACATTCTTTATTTAATTTGTGTAGATTTTCAGTTGTACTCAATAGTAGTTTCTTAGGTAAAAATATACTTTAATGTCCTCCGCCTTTCCAAAAAAGCAGGGGACTATTAAAATGGGTCGTTCTGTCTGTCTGTCACACTTTTTGTAACACAAAAACTCTCCTTCCAAGTTGAGCTAGAATGTTCAAACTTAGTGTAGGTGTTTATCAGGTGAATGCCTGATGGAGTTTGAAAATGAGCATCTTCTGCGATAAGCAATTTAAGTGGTCGAGACTTTGGAACACAATAACTCTCCTTCTAATTGAGGTAGAATGTTCAAACTTGGGGTAGGCGTCTGTTAGGTGAATGCCTTGACAGGGTTCGATCATCCATATTTTTCCACTATGGCTAAGCAGAGATAAGCAATTTGATTGGTTGAGACTTTTTTTCTAATTGGGTGAGAGATGAAACTCTTGAGTATAAATTCATTACATCAATACCTTAACTAAGGAGCGAGAAGCTATTATGCTTAGTGTCTCTTAGACTATGTATATATAATTAGTTTGTTTACTAGATACATTTGAAAAAGATAAATGTGCAATTATTTAATATGTGCGGTTGTACGTGACAACATGTAGGGTCGTCTGTCCAACTAGATCCCAAAATGACCTAGTTTGTGTCAGTGGGCATTAAATCCCATCCCATCTCTCCCTTCTCATGTGTCATCTACTTAATTTGGGATTTGGGTGGGGGACATAAGCCTCACTGTTGGCTTGTATTAACATAGCTTTTTATCCAACTTCATTTGTTATATGTAATATATCTCACAATTAGATTTTGCTTATATCAGATAATTAGTCAAACACTTACATATAACGATATTCAGTATGCAACATGTATGCTCATGATACATGTAGAAGTAAAAAAGAAAGTTTGTTTATACATTCAGTGCTAAATATCAAAACTCTGAAACACATCTTGAATGTTTTGAGATTTATGTTTTCTTTTTAAATTGCACCTAGTTTCCAGTTATAATTACGCTCCACAACATAAGAAAGGTTGATGCTCGGCATATAGAATGTAGTTTGACTGTAATACGGTATATATGTTCTAGGCTCCTGCCTCACATTTAAATCGTATTGACATAATTACCATCATCTTCATTGTAAATCTGAATAATTCAATATAGTGACACTCTATCTGCCTTGTTGTAACAATTAGCCATGGAATCGTTATATTGAAACAATAATCAGGGGAGACACCACACCAACCATGAACCAAGCTATAAAGCATTGAACCAATAACCATGGGATTAACAAGTTTTGTACAGTGGGCTCAAAACAAACAAACAAGCATTGAGTCAGTTAGATATACACCACTTTTGTTAATGCATGATGAATTTTATGAAGTTGGATTCTGCTTTTATAATAAAACATGCATATCAAAATAACTACTAACCAATCTCTGCATGAAAATGAATACAAATAGCCCCCAAAAATATATCAATGCATTGATTTTTTTTCCTTAGAGTGGATTAAACATACATTATGCAAGAGCAAAATCTGATTATTGCAAGTCTTAATTTAGGCGTCAGATGTTATAGAAATTATAAATTAGATCTTTATTTAAACAACAAGCCCAAAATCAACTCTGTAGACCCACGGATGGCTCGGATTTAAATAGGATTTCACTCATTGATAAATTGAAATATGGCGCACCCTGATGAGAATACGTCCGTTAGATCAAGGCTAAATGATAGACTGTACTTAGCGAGGCCGCTGTAGAGCGTTTCCGCATGCCATTGAAAACTTTACTTGATAATCGAGATATGTAGGTGGAGTTAACGCCTGTCAATCAAACGATCGACCAAGGTGATGGCACATTTCACTACCATTTCTAGGCAAATATTACAACGATGATAACTATGTTCAGAATAAAGTAATTTGACTGAAATTTTCAATATATTCTTCTTTCATCATCTACTTTTGAACTGTTATAGCAAGAATGGCCAACTCTCTATAAAAATCTCCCATAATGTATCTTTAAGTTGAACTCATTATTATTGTTTTCTGAAGTGTACATAGATTAGGAAAATTGATTTTTGATTTGTTTTGTAAATTAACAGAAATTATCAGGAATGTTTTTTTTGCTGTGATTATTGATGTACTAATAGATTTTATTTAGATGGTATTTTGAGTTTAGAATGTTAATATTTATGAAAAGAGATAATACACATAATATCTTTTTAAACTGTGTAGTGTATTTTTATACGCTCACATTGAAATGTGCTCGTATATTGCCATTGCCCCCGATGGTCCGGCACACACAATTGGTTGTGGACGCTCTAGAGGCTAAAGTTAATATCCGATTGACTTTAAAGTTATACACAGTGTTTAAGGTCCTGAGACAAAGAAGACTATTGATTTACAACAATTTCCAATTATTACTTCTAGAGTTATGGTGCTTGATCCCTTTGAAAAATCTTGTGGACACTCTAGATGCTAAGGTTAATATCTGATTGACCGTAAATTTATACACAGTGTTTAAGCTCATGAGATGATGAAACCTATTGATTTACAACAATTTCCGATAATTACTTCCAGATTTATGGCCCTTGAAAAATCTTGTGTAACGCTCTAGAAGCTGAAATTAATATCCGATTGACTTAAAATTTATACACAGTGTGAAGGGTCATGAGACGAAGAAGCCTACCTTCTGATTTTCAACAATTTATGATAAATCCTGCCGGAGTTATGGCCTTTGATCAATTGGAAAAATCTTGTGAACACTCTAGAGGATAAAGTTAATATCCGATAAACTTTGAATTTGTAAACAGTGTTTAAGGTCATAAGAGGAAGGATCCTGTACTGTAGATTCTCAACGATTTCCAATAATTACTGCTAAAGTTATGGCCCTTGATCACTTTGAGAAATCTTGTGGATGTTCTAAAGACCAGAGTTATCATCCGATTATTTTATATTTATCGGCGTGTTTACGCCTATATATAATCATTTTGATTGACTTTGGATTGATACACAGAGTTTAAGATCTTGAGATGAACAAGTATATTGATTTTCAATGATTTTTGATAACTTGAGCAGCTAAATCCATGATATTAAATGTTTTGTATACTAAACATTAGCATGGGCCAAAATGATTTTCTGATAATTACTTAATGGGTTGTTACTCTTAATCAGATTTTAGTGTATTATAAATGTTCCATTACCGACAGAAGTAAAAATATGCGACAACTCTTTTTGACTGTCTGGGCAATTTAGCTGCTGTGGGCATATGTTTCGTTGCCTGGCAACCTATCTTTATTAAAACCGAAAGTGATGTAGTTGCTTCGACACGCTCACTGGTCTCTATAATAAGCATATAATAAGTCTACACTTGTCGGGTGTCAAACAAACCATGTGATGTAAACAATTAGCTGTGTGGCGTGAATTGGTCAACAATTGGATTTGTGTTTTAAACGTTAACAAAATTCATATTTATAATATCCAAATAAACAGTCCCTTTGGTCAGAGTCTCATCTAATCAACGACACATAAACAAAATACAGCAGCAGACTTGTGCCAAATCTGTATGCTTGCTATAGAGACTAGTGAGCGTGTTGAACCAACTACATCACTTCCGGTTTTAAACAAATTTAATTTCTCGCTTACAAAAACACTTTTTGCTTGTGTTACAGAGGGGATTACTTATCAATAATTAAAATTTATGGAAACCTTGTTAAAAATCGTTGATCCTCCCCTTTAATTAGAGGATAAGTCATTAATAAAATCAATCATCAGTAGTCATAGTACATCAATCTTGAGATTTTATGTATCACCAGAAGTTAGGTTCAATGATTATTGGTTCTAACTGCAGTAGTTCATTAAATGATCAGAAGTAGGTTGATTAATTAATTAATTCTGTTCAGTTCAGTTTCTTAGGTCCTGTTAAGTAATCAAAAGGGTACATTGAATATAATCATAAGCAGTTAACTGTTTGTATCAAATATTATGTTTTTAAAAAGAATGGTTTCATTAAATGCATCATTCACAAGAAGTTATGTGGTTTTAGACTAGAGTACTGGAAGTCCTCAACAATTAGATTCATTGGCAGAATTTATCAATGATGACTTAAACTATGATATCAACAGATAGGTTTGTCAATTATGACATCAACAGATAGGTTTGTCAATTATTACATCAACAGATAGGTTTATCAGCAGCTAGATTTATTGATTATTACTTCAGCAGTTAGGAATATCAATTATTAGATCAGCAGATAGGTTTATCAAATATTAGTCTGGAAGGTTGACGACTAGATTGATAAATGATGTCACTGTCCACAATAAAATAACTAGTATTTGCAAATCAACATCAGGAAAATGATTCTGATAATGAAGTTCCTTACAAATTTAAAGAATTGCAGTGCATTGGTGTCTATAAATATAACTAAAGCTAAAGCTTAGCAACTTCTCTACGAAAAGATATTGATATCCAAATTAAAATTTGAAATGTTGTATATGATTTAAGACCTGGGATCTTACAAAGCATTGGGAGCTTAAAGCTAATCGCCTTTTCCATTCACTTGATTTGATAGTACTTTTGTTGTTTAATACTTGTAATGTCTGTGTGTTTTGTGTCCTGACCACGGATTTGTTTTATTAATTTCCGTTTGTTTAAATGTCTTGAAAATCTATAAAGAATTGGTGTATGCATCTTTAGCAGTAAACTCATTTCAAACTTTGTTTTAAATTTACAATCAGTGTGTTAATTTAAGCCAAAGCCAATTTTGTGAAAGTTTTAAGAAATGAACATTTTTATTGCTGTGTTTTGGGGCTCTGGCATACTTGGTAATGGTCATATTTACTATGGTAAAATAAAGCTTGGTCAAATGACTATGATTCACTTACACCAGGATTCATCTTTAAACTTACGTATTTGTAATATGCATATTATTCTTGCTCTCAGATTCTCTCCAGCTTGCATATTCTGCTTATTTCCACATTAACTATTTGTCAATTATTTCTTAAAAATAAAAGGATTCAAGGATTTGTCTTTTTCACTTCAATGTAATAGTTATACATCAAAAATATATTTAAACTAAATTTTTTTTTTTTTTATCAGATTCTTATATGAGTATATTATTAAACAAATATAGAATATTAGTCCACAAGTAATACAAAAATTAATGTAACTGACACCATTAACTATGTTTTTTGTTAAATATTGATGAAATTGAAAATATTTATGATCCAAGGTAGGTAACTTGGTGAGAAATCAATAAATAACCATTAGGATTCTATTCTTGGTACCCATCAGCATTCCCCACCTTACCCAATTCTTCCGAAGTTTTGTTAGTCACTTGTAGTAGCTTTTGGTACATATATACGTATATATCTCATGCAATTTGTTGCATAGACTCTATTTCTTTCAGTCAACCATTAAATAGTTTGGCAGTAAATGTAGAATTAATTGTTTTGTTCATGCATGTAAATTTTAAAAGCTACATATTGCTGATCGTTTGGCTGTAAATTTGTTATTTTGACTTGTGTGTTATTTATCTGTTCATATTTAAAGTTTATTTTCTTGTTTCATGTTAAATTCTGTCTTTTTTTTTGGGCTAAATCTTAAATAATCTTTTTATAGAAGTAAAGATTTGTTTGCTTGGTTTTAGACTAAAAGTGTTTTATTTAATAAGTTTTTATACCATGAATAATTTTTAGAATAGTTAAAACATATTTTTGTTTTCCAAATTTATTCTATTTTGCTCATTTGCAACTAATTTAATTACCTCCCTTGTCATGATATCAGAGGGCACCATGCACATACCCAGCCTGGCCCAGGCCGCGACGGCACCATTGTCCGCGGTCGCCTCTCACCCTAACCTTGCTGCACTCTTTAAACAAGGTAGGTTCAACAAAAACATACACATTTAGATTGATTATTAATTAGTTAAAATGAACATTTTATTACTGTTGTCTCTATCTAGTTGATCTTTAAACTTGCTCTATATAACCTTGCTATAGATTTTCTTTTCTTATGTTTAGACAATAGTTTGTTTTTACTGGACAGCATTCATTCTAGGTATACATTTAGACTCTGGAATGGAATGGTGTCCAACATTTTTGCCAACAGTATATTTTAATCATATTTACACTAATACATAGTTTTTGAACCCTGCCTTTCAAAGAAAGCAGGTGACTATTGAAATGGGTCTGTCCGTCACACTTTTTGGGACACAATAACTTGGTGTAGGTGTTTATTTGATGGGGTTTGAAGATGAGCCTTTTCTGCTTAGCGTAAGGGTAGACAATCAATTTGATTGGTTGATGCTTTGGGACACAATGCCTTTGGTTCTAATTGAGTGAGAGTGAGGAAACTCGGTTTATAGTTTCATCACATCAATACCTTGACTAAGTTCGATAATGTGCATTTTCGGCTCAGGGTAAGCAGAGCGATAAGCAGTTTGATTGGTCGAGACACTGGAGCTCGACAACTTCGATCAAGGGTGATAGTGGTGACACGTTGTGTAGAGTTTCATTACATCAATACATGTACCTTACTTAACAAAGTTCAATGCTGAACATTTTCTGCTTAGGCAAAGTAAAGACTGGTCGAGACTTTCGAACACAATATATCTTTTCTTCTAATTGAGGTAGAATGTTCAAACTTGGTGTAGGTGTCTATTAGGTGAATGCCTTGACATAGTTGATCATGTGCGTTTTCTACTTAGGCTAAGCAAAGGTAAGCAATTTGATTGTTTGAGACTTTGGAACACAATAACTTTGGTTCTAATTGGGTGATAGCAATGAAACTCAGAGTATAGATTCATTATATCAATAACTTACTAAGTTTGATGATGATAATTTTCTGCTTAGACTAAGTAGCAATAACCAACTTGATTGGTCAAGACTTTGGAACATAACTCTGCATTTAATTGAATGTTTAAACTTAAAGATACATTATGGGAGATAAGATAAAGAGATGGCAGTTCTCGCTATAATAGTTAAAAACTAGATAGTGTAAAGGTAATTTGCTGAAAATTTCAGTCAAATTGATCCATTATGAGCCGAGAAAGAAGCGGGTGAAATTTTTGCATAGTCTCGGTCATCATTACTAAAATCATATAAACAGCATAGTCTCGATTATCCACTTTTTTTGATTTAATTATCAGTGGCCGTTAGCGGCATATAGGAATCTAATCCAGCCAACATCGAAGGCTAGCCTTGACATCGAGAGTTTATTATGGTCTGGATAAGTTAATTAATGTCTAATTGATAATTTAGATAACATTTCAGGCCTAAAGAAAGACTTGTAATAGTAGATTTTGCTCTTGCATAATGCATGTTTAATATAGATGTTCATTAGGTGAATGTGTTGACTGAGTTCAATGATTAACATTTCCCCGCTAAGGTTAAGCAATTTCATAAGTTTGATTGTGAACATTTTATGCTCAGACTAATTATAGATAATCAGTTTGATTGCTCAGTAGTTTTGAAAAAGATAAATGTGTAATCAATTAATATGTGTCATCTATTTATTTTCGGTTTTCGGCGGGGGTCTCACTGTCAGCTTGTTTTGGTTTTTTTTACTGTGTAAGGTGTACAATGTATGATATGAGAATTACTCCTGAAACAGATGTGGTCCCATGTACTCTTTATGAAATTCAAACTAAAAATTCATGTAGGTGATATGACATTCATTATTGTATAAGAAGCTTTGAAATTTGGATTACCTGTGACTGAGCAGTTTAGAAAGTACTAGGTAGATGGCACAGTTTAGATAATGCTGTTTTATTTTCAAGTAAAATCGAACAATCATGTAGTTAGAGAACAAATGTGTCTCCCTCTTTAAATTTTAATTGTTTCATCCAAGAGGCTATATATGGCAGTAAGTACTACTGTAAATTGGCAAAGCAGATGATCAATAGTAAAGATTGAACGCTCTTCCACATTGCTAGCCTTCCAGTGCTAAAAAAACTATATGTATTAGTTTGCAGTTCTCCTTTATTGAACATACAGCCATGAACTGTAAAATGATTGCTTTTAAAGATTTAATGAACGGAAGTCATATCATTATTTTCTTTTAATTTTACCAATCCAATGTAGTATAAATATGTGTGCCTAGTTAAGATTTCAGTTTTGAACACAAACATTGTAATACCGTGGGTGGGAGGTTTGATGGCTTAGTGGTTAGCACGTGTGCGCTGTATCATTAAGTCTGTCATTGAGTCAACTGGCGTGGTTTCGAATCCCTGGTTGTATGTGACAAGGAGTAGAGTCGCCTGTCCAACCTCGTGGGTTTCTCTGGGTCCTCCGGGTTTCCTCCCACTGCTAAAGACCCCTACGCGCAAGCGAATTATGGAAATAAAATTGAACCATATGTTAGTCCCGAAATGACCTAGTTTGTGTCGAGTGGACGTTAAACCCCATTTCTCTCTCTCTCTTGCAATACCGTGAAACTGGGCTACTTATAACATTTTTTTTTTTTCATTTATTAATGATTGCTAAGCTATTATATATTTTTAATTACTATAATTCATGGGGAATATAATTTTCCATTGTTTTTTTAAATTTGGGTGTTTAATCTTGCCTTGCCAGTGGGGGGTAATTTTGAATGACACAAAAAAAGTTAGGCGTTCAATCTTGCCTCGCCAGTGGGGTTACTTTGAACAGTTCATAAAATTGCATTCGATAAATTGATGTAAATTTAATAAATTTATCAAAATACAACAGTAAATTCATTCGTTATAGATAATCAAATGCAAGAAACATAACAAATATTGTGAATAATTGTCTTTGGGGAGAAGCTGAACATGTTCTAAGTTGCCCCATGGTGAACCTTATCAATAATCAGCATTCTGCGACCTTGTTCCACCTTTGCCAAAAATCTGGTTTGAAGTATTTGGGTCATGAGAGGCTGAAACCTATAGATATTCAGCATTTCACAACCTTCTGCACCAGACTTAACAACATACCCTTTTACAACATCCTTGTGAACATGATAGATGCTACTTTTTAATGGATTTCTTGCAAGACTGGTGTGAATCATTGGACTCCTGTAATGAGAGGATGAATCCTATTGTTATTGAGCTTTCTGCAGCCTTCTTTTCCAGAGTTATTCCCTCTTTTCCAAATACAATATGAACACGATAGAGGCTACAGATTTAATAATGAATTTGTTAAGAATTGAGTTTATAAGGGGATTTATTTTCAAGCTTGTGAACAAGCTTGTGATTTTTTACTTAAAGGATTCTTTATCCATGTAAAATTTGCTCATCATCCAAGTTTTCATTTAGGATAAGTTGCTATCTAGTATGGCTATAGTTTGTTTGAGATATAGCTGGATATAGTTATCAATGTAACATAACTGCTGGTTGGTTTTTGTTTTGTTGCTTTGTTAACTATGCTCAACAATATAATGCTGGAAATGATTTTTATTTTGCAATAGATAAGGCATATTATCATATGTTAAGTTTTGATATTAAAAATCATTATTATATCTTGTGTCTTCATAGTTTCTGCTATGCTTGTTAATGAAAAATCTGTTAAACAGGCATTATGCAAGAACTAAATCTGCGTATTGCAACTCTTTCTTTAGGCCATAAATGTTACATAACATGACAAGACCATAATTAACTCAGAGGCCATTGGTTGTCTCTGATATTAAGAAGATTAGAACGGTTCAGCCATTTAATGATTCAATTTAAAAATGGAGAAGCGAGGCTAAGCTTCGAACAACCAGTACAGTGGTTACAAACACAATCAATGCATACATCTTGTCAAACCTTCAAAGCTTAATTATCTTCGCTCAGAATAAAGTAATTTGAATGACATTTTCAATATATTCATTTTGCATTATCTATTTTTGAACTATTATAGCAAGAATGGCTAGCTCTTTATCTAAATCTTACATAATGTATCATTAATTTAGTTCATTGGTGTTGGTACAGATTCTGCCATGGACCTTATAATATATTATAAGGTCCATGATTATGCACAACACATGTTTTTATGTTCAACACAAATACAATGTACATAATTTTTTAACTATTATAGCAAGAACGGCTAGCTCTTTATCTAAATCTTACATAATGTATCTTTAATTTAGTTCATTGTTGTTGGGGGGGGGGGGGGGGTTAAACCCTATTTCTCTCTCTCTCTCTCATTGTTGTTGGTACAAATTATGCCATGGACCATGATTATGCACAACAAATGTTTTTATGTTCAACACAAATACAATGTATATAATTTTAATATGGTTCAACATCTTTCATTTGGTTAGAAAGTTTGATTAAATTTGATGCGTTGGTTTGCTTGTAGGTATCTTGTCTATATTTTTCTCCACCAAATAGGCTATGTCTATCAGACCTGATTGATATTGAGTTATAGTTCCACTGTTGACAATTAAGACAAAAATGGAATTAAAATTAGTAAATAAACTGACTTCTGCTTAATATTGTTAATTAGTTGAGGTTTTAATTTAATTATTAATTAATAGCCATGGTTAAAGGGAAGAGATCTAATAGTTGGTCAGATTCCTATGATGATTTCCGTATATTTGAAGAAGAAATAGAACAAGGAGTCGACCAAGAACAGTTACAGTATGAAAAAGATAGCAAGTAAGTTGACTCACGATAGTAATAAGATATTGAACAGTCTATATCAAATTGATGGGTCTTATTAGGAAAGAGCAACTTCACTAGCTGATTGGATTTAGAACTTCCTCAAGACGTTTATTTTATGTAACATAATTTTATGAATCTGCATAGCAGGGGACTATTAAAATGGGTTTGTCTGTCTGTTCGTCCGTCACACTTTTTGGAACATAATAACTCTCCTTCTAATTGAGCTTGAATGTTCAAACTTGGTGTAGGTGGTTATTAGGTCGATGGCTTGATGGAGTTCGAAGATGAGCATTTCCTGCTTTGGGTAAGCAGAGATGAGCAATTTGATTGGATGATGCTTTGGGACACAATAACTTTAGTTCTGATTAAGTGAGAGTGATATATAGTTTCATTACATCAATAGCTTGATTAAGTTCGATAATGAACATTTTTTGCTCAGGGTAAGCAGAGCGATAAGCAATTTGATTGGTCAAGACGTTGGAACATAACAACTCTGCTTTTAATTGAGGTAGAATGTGTAAACTTGATGTTGATGTTGATTAGGTGCATGTCTTGACCGAGTTCAATGATTAACATTTCCCGCTAAAGCTAAGCCATTTCTTTGACTTTGATTCTATCTGATAGAGAGTGATGAAACTTAAGTGTGTCGTTGATAATCTGTTTGATTGCTCGATACTTTTGAAAAAGATAAACATGCAATTAATTGATATGTGTCATCTATTTATTTCGAGATTTCGGCGGGGGACATCAGTCTCACTGTTGGCTTGTTATAATCTAACTATTGTTTTTTATGTATTATTACAGAATGTTAAATCCAGATAAAGCAGGTTTATATGATCAGTATAAAATAGCTTATGCTAATATTCTGTATAAGTGGGGTCTTATTAACCAATCAGCTTTAATTATGAAATTCATCTCTTTTCCTGTACAACCTGAGAGAACTTGTGGTAACTATTGTCAGTTCATATCTGTCAAATAACAGTTTACCATTATTGTTGGTTTGTCATTCAGTGGGTCTGTTTGTCCAGGGCATAACACTGAGGCATTGATCTAGAATGATGATCCATGTGTGCAGTGTGCACCGGACATTTTGATAGCTAATCAAGCTCCTAAATGTGTTGACTGATTCGAATAAAACTTTCACATGCGCATAGATCTCACATAGTGCTCATTCTTTTGTCATATGACAACTTGATTAGATCAATGGTTAATGGTCATATAGTGTATTTTTCGTGAAAACGACCTCCGTCTCTCACAAAATACATCTCCTCTTACAGTTTTGACATGGCCATCTAACTTTGACGTGATTTTCTACCGAAGGGGCTTAACAATTGCTAGGAAACTGATTTTTGAATCTTGTCTTTATTTCCTATTAACTTGAGTAGGCCTATATTTTGGAAGTTTCAGTTGACTTAATGGATTTGAACCCAAATTTCACAGGATATAGTACACGATGAATGCTAGAACTTTTGTACAAAGAATCTAGCAGTCAAAGGTCAAGTTACTGTGATTCTTATGAAAAATACGATAATCTTTGTTACTAAGGTGTATAATATAGCAGCAAACAATCCAAGCTGAAACCTTTTAACTGTTTCAGCCTGTGGGCTTGTATTAATAAGTTGTCTATCTTTGGTTCGGATCTTTTGATCAGGAGAAATTGTATACATTTGTACTTTCAAGGTGTACTAAATTCTAGAATCTCAAGGCCTGACAGTTAAATGATTGTGGTAAGGAGTATACGGTATATATGTAATTAAGTGTCTGTGTAGTTTTGTAAATATAATATTCCTGTTTACTTTCAGATTTCCTGATTAAATGTTCTAGCTGTAATCAAACAACAGACACACCACAATGCACCAATAATCATATAGCTTTAAAATGTTCTATATGTAGAACTGGTGTTAGAGGTAAGCACTCTTTAATACTGATATTTGAATAAGTTTAATTTTATGTGGATAAACATTACAAGAAAGAGTACAGTGAATAATTGATGGATATTTTATCGGTACTTTCTAGTTCAGATTCAGTGTGCCATTTGTCTCCTCGAAAGCATTTTAACATCTGTTCTAAATCCACATGGTTCAAATCAGATTCAGTTCACAATCAAGCACCTCAATGTTGAATGTTATATGTAATTACTAACATCGGTTTAATTCAATTACAGGTGCATCTAATTTCTGTCTGGCATGTGGTCATGGAGGTCACACTAAACATATATTAGATTGGTTTGAAAAAGAAACCGAATGTCCAACTGGTTGTGGATGTAATTGTTTGAGTAAAAATCCAATGATATTTGGATGGTAGCTAATCTGTGATTAAATAAAAGTGTTGGTGATTTGTTTAAGAATATTAAGTATAATATCAATATTGACTAAAAAAGTTAAATTTGTTATCTGTGATAATAGAGATTAAAAGTGCCAAGATTATGTTGAAGAAAGGGTTGTTTCAGAGTTTGCCTAAAGAATGTTTTATCTTTTCTTTTCCGATATCTTTTTGAGGTTGAGGAAGAGATTTGTGTTATCTTTAGAACCTATATTATTAATGAGTGAATATCATACATACATTGTCATAAACATTCTGAGAAAAACTGATCAATGTACCCAAGAGATTCTGCCACTTTCCATAGAGATGTGAAAGTTTACAACTTTGGAAGGTTAAAAGTATTCTACCCTTTTATATCTAGGGTTAGCCAAGTTTTTAACATGTGGTAAAACCATGGTAAATACCAGTATAAACTAGGGAGTTTTTCCTACCTTTTCATGGTGAAACAACAGATTGATGAAAATAAGCTTCCAAATCTCCCACTGAAGAAATTGTTATATGCAAAATATATCACAGGCTAATGCAGATAGGTTAAGACTTGCAAAAAAAAAAAAAATTGCCACAAATTTTTTGAATAGACTTAAAAAAGACAAAATGTTATTAAAATCCTATTTAATAGAAATCCAAACCAAAATACAAAATTACACACAATTCTTAAAAAATTGTATTAAAATTACTTTGAATTACATTACCTCATTGGTAGTCAATTTTTGGTAATGGCCCGATGGCAAAGCTTATGTTATCATGTATTACAGTTACTGAAATAGTTCAATGGGAGCCATTTTAATCTACCATAAATTTCCATAGGATATCTGTTTTTACTGTGTATTACTTGCTGGATACTGAATAATATTAGTTACCATCTGTAACTAAAGTTACAATATATTTAAATGTCAGTCCAGGTTGTTTGAATGCCTGTGTTATTGTTGAATTGTTTATTTGTTATATTATGTTTGTCATATGTTACATACCAATAAAATATTTGTAATATTGTTTACACATTTACTTCTACAGTAATATAGCATCCAAACTGTTTTCCCCTTTAAATAATCTTTTACAGCAGTAACAATCTTAAAGGGACTATCCCGATTTGAACAGAGTCTTAAAAATAAAAGTCCAAGTTCGTATGAAATTTAAGCGCCACAATATAGAGGAATGGCATATTTACCTTGTCTCAAAATTTCAGCTCAAAATATTGACATGTCTGGACGTGAATGTCAAAAATGCTTATCCGGACACGTAACCCTTTTAAGATTTCTGGTCAATTTTTTCGTTAGGTGGCCTAATAATCTATCGCCGTTCCTTTAGAAGTCTATACAGTGAATGACCCATGTGTCGTACTGGATAACAACAGGTAAATTTCACCTACACATTGTTTTTATAAAATAAAAGTCTGGTTTTATCCAGACACTGCATAATACAGCTTGGGACACCGGTCTCCATTTCCAGATGAAGACTGACGGGTGTAATTTTAACACAAAATTAAGCAGTTTTATTCTCCAAAATATTATCGGGATTGGCCCTTTAAATACATCCATTTGCTGTATTGGCTATAGGGAAGAATGTTAACAAAACAATATGTGCACTAATGTGCGGTGTTACTCACCTTACAAAAGCACTACAAGCCAGAGTTTTATTTCCCCCCTATAAATGCACCACAAGCCTGAATTACCAATATTCACCACAGAAATGAAATTAAACATTTGAGCTAACGAAGACAGGTTCCCTTTTTACCGCAAATGCTTTACAAGCATTGTATGGCCAATGACTACAATGATGCAAATTTAATAAGCAAAAATGCAGCATAGTTAATTAGTATTTATACCACTGAGATGGTGACTTTTGTCCCTGAGGCTGAGGTTACCTTAAGTAGTAACAGGTGTTTTGCACAAGGTATGCCTAGTCTTTTCAGCACAACTGATACCACTTTATATTTAGGTACTTTGTATAGCTAACAAAGGTTTGTTATACTTTTGTATCCATATAAGCCAGAGTGAACAAGATCTTTTTGTCCCCAGCCTTTCGAAGAAAGCAGGGGACTATTAAAATGGGTTCGTCTGTCCGTCCGTCCGTCTGTCCGTCACACTTTTTGTCACACTTGGTGTATATATATAGTTTCATTACATCAATACCTTGACTAATTTCGATAATGAGCATATTCTGCTCAGGGTAAGCAGAGTGATAAGCAATTTGATTGGAAGATGAGGATTTTCTGCTTATGATAAGCAGAGATAAGCAATCTAATTGGTTGATACTTTGGGGCACGATAACTTTGGTTATAATGAAGTGAGAGCGATGAAACTCTAAATATAGATTCATTATATCATTACCTTGACTAAGTTCGATGGTGAGAATTTTCTGCTTAGGCTAAGGAGCAATAAGCAATTTAATTCGTCAAGACTTTGGAACATAACAATTCTGCTTTTAATTGAGGTAGAACGTTTAAACTTGATGTAGATGTTCATTAGGTGAATGTCTTGACTGAGTTCAATGATTAACATTTCGAGCTGAAGCTAAGCAGAGCTAATCAATCTTGATTCTATCTGATAGAGAGTGATGAAACTTAGTGTATAGTTTGATTGCTCGATACTTTGAAAAAAATGAATTACGATTAATTAATATGTGTCATCTATTTATTTTGGAATTTCGGTGGGGGACATTAGCCTCACTGTTGGCTTGTTAAATCTTGCTTTGGTTAGCCATTAGGAGGAATGTAGAAAGTTTCTACACAATAGAATATATTTTATTCCATCTTCAACAGCTTGTTAGTTAAATACTGTCTACACATAATACAATCGTCATTTAATGATTTAATTAACTTCGTCGAAAATCCTAGAAATGTAATTTGAATGAAGTTTTCGTTATCTATTTTAAAACTATTATAGCAAGAATGGCCAGTTCTTTATCTAAATCTTACATAATGCATCTTTAAGAGAAAATCCATGAATGAAATAAAAACACTGAACTTACAAAATATGAAATTTATATTTAAAAATGGAATAATGAAAAATTGAAGTTTATGGTTTTACATCGATTTATGAATTTTAATATATCTTGAAAATCCCACTATATCTTCACGATTATCAATAAATATAAATTCGTTATTTCACACACACATTTATACTTCATAGAGCTTTTCATTCCAAAAATCACAAAATATTATATTTTTCTGGAATTCTTGTACGCAGCAACACAAATGGCTCACTTTTACATGATTTATAACTGATATTATATGCAGTGATGGTGACCAACACAGTCACTCTAACCTGTTATATTTACATGTCCACTACAGCAATAATAAATCTTATCAAGCTACACCTCCTCTTGTAGCTGTAGCTCTTTGTCTAACTTCCTGATAAGATGGGTGTACCATACGATGTCTACCCCTTGGAGTTGGATCATATACAATAGAATCACTGAATGTATCCGTACTGAAAAACAAGAAATGTGTCAATTTGGAAAAGAATAAAGTTATGTCTCCTACAACAGAAAAAAGGACTAAAATGTCATGTATTATCAAATTATCAATTATTTTTTAGAGACAACAGGATATCTCTCTATATACTTTCCGGATTGCAAAATTTATACGGTCATGTTTTAAGCCAATCATATTAGCCCATTCTGATTCGCTCTGATATAAAATATAAATTAAACCAAACGAAGAATTGTTTTGACAAATAATTATTTATAGAAATTCATTCTTGGTGTGATTTAAAATAAAGGTGAACAAAAACCCCAAAATTGTCAATGAGAAGGACTTTTTCTTCTTCGATTGTCATGCTTCACATGATGATGTCATTGAATTCTGTGAAGTTTGTGCTTGATTTATGGATCCAAAATGGCCATAAATATTCACTGACAGTAGTGGTTCTATGATATGCAAATTAGGACAAATATCTTGATTATTCATTTGATTAATATATTGAGAAACTTAATTCAGTAATATGATAAATTAAATGATATACTGGATCAATTTGAAAAAATCCCAAGTTCAAAATAATTTCAAATGAACTATACCAATCATAGGTGGTATTATTCACCTTGTTTCTACATTCATTTGTTACATGAATGATTAATCTGTTTGAATGAATGATACTTACTAGTAAAACTGGTAGAAAACACAATAATATACTAACAGAGCAAATAATATTAATAATGTCATCACTACATATAGAGCTATTTTACCATCAGGTGTCTGAAATATAGTGCATATTAATTGAAAATATAGCTTGCCAGGCAAAGTAAGGAAGAAGATAAATCGGTAAAGAAACAAAACAACAGTGAGGCTGATGTCTCCAGCCGAAATCCTAAAATAAATAGATAGATGACACATATTAATTGCACATTTATCTTTTTCAAAAGTATCGAGCAATCAAACTGATTATCTATTCTTAGTCTTAGCATAAAATGTTCACGATCAAACTCTGGCAAGGTTTTGAAGTACCTGGTAGTGAAAGTATACACTAAGTTTCATCACTCTCCATCAGTTAGAATCAAAGTTATCTTATCCCAAAGCATCGACCAATGAAATTGCTTAGCTTTAGCCAGAAATGTTAATCATTGAACTCAGTCAAGACATTCACCTAATGAACATCTACATCAAGTTTAAACATTCTACCTCAATTAAAAGCAGAGTTGTCATGTTCCAATCTTGACCAATCAAATGCTCATCATCGAACTTAGTCAAGGCATTGATGTGATGAAACTATACACCAAGTTTTACCACTCTCACTTAATTAAAACCAAAGTTATCGAGTCCCAAAGCCTCAACCAATCAAATTGCTTATCTCTGCTTACCCTAAGCAGAAAATGCTCATCTTGGAACTCCACCAAGGTATTCACCTAATAAACACCTACACCAAGTTTGAACATTCTATCTCAATTAAAAGGAGAGTTATTGTGTCCCAAAAAGTGGGATGGACAGACAGATCTACATGTATTTTAATAGTCCCCTGCTTTCTTCGAAAGCCGGGGGATAATTTAGTGTAGATGGACAATGGCGACAACAATGTACGACCACATTAACATGGGTGTACATGTTGGAATCGTATATTGAAATAATCCTAGATTTATATTTTAAGTCCAAAATAGGAGATAATTCTGAAAACACTAACAGAGAAGCCATTACTTTCAAACAGTAAGTACAGGAGTACCAGTACTATGAATTTAATCATTACTGAGAGTCTTTTTTATGTTATAAATTTAAGAATATTAAATCAATTGTGTTTGGAGTGGACACCAAACTTACCTCTTTTTTAGGAATTTCCCAGAATTTATTACATGTAAGATATGAACAAACAGCATCTTGTAATAAATCTGAAAATATAGAAATGTAGAGTGTTGTTTAGCCAACTCTGCATTTTCTAAGATTTAATGACACAAACATTGCATATTTGGGTACGATGTTATTTTTATTATAACTATAATATTAACAACAAGTTCTTCCACCATATTTCCAGAATAAACTAATGACACTCATTAATTACTTTCACTTGCTCATCATCAATCTTAGGTATTGATCATGTAATATGTAATGAAACATAACACTATGTTTCATCACTTTTCACTCAATTACAATCAAAGTTATTGTGTTCTAGATGTTGAAAAATAAAATTGCTTGTTGCTGCTTAACCTCATTATCAAACTTAGTCATGGTATTTGTGTAATGAATCTGTACACCAAGTTTCATCATTCTAGCTCAATTAGTAGCAATGTTATTGTATTCTAATATCTTGACCAATCAAATTGCTTATTTCTGCTAAGTCTTAGCAGAAAAGGCTCATTATCCAACTCGGTCAATTAATTTACCTAATGAACAGCTGCACCCAGTTTAAACATTCCACCTCAATTAGAAGCAGAGTTATTGTGTACAGAAAGGTGTACCCGATGAATGAACCCATTTTAACATTCCCCTGCTTGCCAGAAAGGCAGGGTCCAATAAATTAAAAAAACGTGTAATCAACAAACCTCTAAAATGTTTTGTTTCATTAACTGTAATATATTTAGGTATACAGTCTTCCATTAATTTCTATAATAAATACATATTCATATAAAACCAGTATATGGCTTATTGCATATTAAAGTCCCTGATAGTCATTTGAGGGAATTTGATATGATCACTCAAGTCGTCGCTTTGTCGACAACCAAGGAAATCAAATCACCTATCAAAATGATCAGTTTTGGTTATTTTTCTCTTGTGACATAACATACAACAGGTTTCTCACAATGTTCTTACAGATAAGTTATAAGTTGCTCGGGTACGTTAAATTAGGCCTAACTTACTTATTGAAATTAAGTTTGCAATTCAGGCACTAATTAAACATGTAAACTGCAAATTTTATTTTGTTAGACTATTGTAAGAAAATAAACATGTCGAATACATAAGGTAGGCCTAGTGAACTGTTCAACCTATATAGCAATATACTCAATAATAATAATATAGGACTAGGATTCATAGATGGTAATTAGAATGAGCGTATTTTTTCCAGTACCCGTAGCAAGAAAACGAAGGGTGACAGCCTATCACTCTCCTGGTCTTATTGGTTCTGGCATCTTGGTTGTTTGTTTGGTAATCTATTGCAGACGATATATAGCATAGGGTCATAACCAAATACATACATGTGTTACAGGGCCTGGGAAATGAGGAAAAACAAGTTTAGGGTCAGCGATTTGAGCTGACAAGATAAGGTAGGTAGGGTAACCATAAACATAGACATTTTTGTTTTGGCCTTATAAAGGATGTGCTGCCATTTTAAAACATGTTATATACTATATTGGCTCACAGGTTGAGTAAAAGAAGTATATAAAAAAACTAAATTCAAATTGTTTGAATCTTGATATGGATGTATTTTTTTTATATGTATAACTGACCTGCTGAGCAGAGGGATGCAAAAATTTCTTTTCGGCTGAAGCCCTAGTCTTTCAGCCGTACTTAAAATCTACCAAACCTGTTAAAAACCTAAATTCTACTTTTCCGACAGCCCAAAAAAGTTTGAAAATTGTAATGCTATGAGAACCATACAGGTAGATAAATAAATGAAGAATATACAGATATTGCTAATTGATCAGGACAATATTTTAAAATCTTGTGGCTGTTCTAATCCATTTAAATCTCAGCTATCCAATGGTCTAGAGGGTTGATTATTGCCTATTGGTTTGTCATGTGAATAAATGTTTAATAGTTTATGTAACATTTGAAGCCAAAATAAAGACATCTTTAGCTCTTACATGATGCATCTGTAAATAACCTTTGAACTTACATTACATTCCTCTAATATTTCTTTCATATCATCCTCCATACACAGAGCAAAATCCCAATAATCTGGTTTTCTTACACCTGCTATAATATCACATCTAAATACTTCACAATAATCTGCTAAACATACAATATTCTCCTACAAAACAAAAACTATTATAATATTCCAATTGAAATTAATGGCCATAATTAACTACTAATACAAAAACTTCTTCAAATATCCAAACTGAAATTACTGATAATGGACATAATTAACTACAAATACAAAAACTTTTTCAAATATGCAAACTGAAATTACTGGTAATGGCCATAATTAAGATATTTTCATACACTTCCAGAGGTGGGTGGTATTTTAGACTTCATTATTTACATCTTAGACTTGTTGCAAGCATGTAGACATGGAAGTATATTCATTTAAAATGCCTTTCAAGGCCGTTTTTCTTTTGATGATTTTACTTCCATTACAACCTGGTACAATGTTCAAAAAACAGGAACTGATGAGTTTTGTGACTAATCAAAAGTGTTAGCTCACTGCCACACAGTTGGACAGGCAAGGAAGAATCATTTTAAAGCCAATCTGATTAGATACAGAAACTAATAAGAAGAGCAGGCGAGCTATGATTATAGTTATGTATTATTATGTACTGTTCCCATTTCATGGCAGACCCTTGTTGAACTACTTGCAGTCTTTTTCCCGAAATTATTTATATACCACAAAAAGAAAAACAACCAAGTAATTTTTTCAAATATGTCTTGCATGCATTTGGTAATTCAGAGAGGTTATTTCGGTGCTAACATATGGACATGGTATATTCTTATTTCAATGATTTGCTTGTGCACTGGGATCTTTAGAAGTCGGCGGTACCCAGAGAAAACCTATGAGTCCCCGCTCCTGGTCACGTACAGACACGGAATCAAACACGTGACTTACAAACAATGAATGCATTAAACCACTCAGCCACCCAACCCCTACATGGTAAATCAAGGAACTTACTTTTGCTACTATTTCATTCATATGACGATTATCAAAATGTTTATCCACAAATTCTTCGCCAACAAAGGCCTTGCCACAATAATTACAGGTCCATTTACTCATTGATTCCATAATTTTATTATCTTCTTGTATTCTATACATATCTCTATGTGGGTGTAATGGACATGATATTGGCAGTTCTGCATCCAGTAATTCAAAAGGTAGCACCATTTTCTAAAAGGGAGAGAAACATACTCTTACAAATTTTGCTTTTAGTTTATCCATTCTTTCAAACATTAGGTGTCATTATTTGCTAGGCAATGAAGCATACTCCCACAAGTAGCTAGAGTAGCTATAGTATCGAGGTGGCAGTATAAAATGTAAGTTACAAATTGGTGTTACTTTGGAAATTATGAGAAAGTTTGAACAAAACAACATAAGAAGTTGAGACGCATAACAATAACAAAACCTAAACTAAATTCCTGCCTCCAATGCCAGTCCATAAACGATAGAGGTACATATTATTGACCACTGAGCAGTATGGTCTACTCAAATATCACAGATGTACTAATCATATTTTCAGGTATGGAACCGTACTGATATACTTACAGAATTAATTACATTTCTGACAATTCTAGATTTCTGCCTACTGCATCTATTATTGGCTTCAAGTGGCCTAATCACCACCTACAAATAGAAAGTTTAATCTTAGTTTACATTTTATAAAACAATACCGCCATACTGGTATGTAGTTCATTGTAAAGAAACTATGGGTAAATAAAAACTAATTCATCTTCCACAAGTCCAATACCGGTATATTTTGCAAATCAATAGGAATGTAGCCTACCTCTCTTTACTATACAATAACAATGTATTGCTATAATTCCATAACGTTGTAAAATGATATAATAACCTCTTCTCTAACAGAAATTTTAAAACATTTGAATTGTTCAAAGCAGCTGGGGGCAGTCAGCCAGCTGTATTCCCCTGAGCGTGTCCGGGTAAGAGTCCCTGTCTCTCGATTGAAGGGTCCGGGGTAGTTCTCTCCCCCTGTGCATAAGAAATTTTTTTGAAAATGTGACAATAATCTTTCCCCCCCCCTCCCTTGCCCATACTATAGAATCTGGGCAGGGAAAGTAAATCAGTAGTAATAAAATTCTGAATATAATTCTCTTGTCCATCTATACTTAAAGGAGCTAATAAATCGCTAGTATTTGGGACCTACAAATTGACACAAATGGGTCTTAACGTATATATATGATAATGTAATATGATGAATGTATAAAAACTGATTTACATTCAATCGTTTCCGTTTTTACTCTAATTTCAAAGCATGTTTCGCGAAAAACGCCAGAAGTCTCAATCAAATGGCAATCTCTGCGTCTGGTTATTCCAGTCTACACCGATTATTTATTGGCATGCTCTCCAGATAAGAATATGGGGTCACTGTTTGACATGACTTGTGGAAATGTCTAACCTCGTTCTTCGATTCGCGTGCTACAAATTGCGCTGAAACGCAATAGTAAAATGTTTATTCTGTCTTAAATATTGGACATCCGAAGCCCATCTTTTCCCGGTAAGATCACAACACCATCAATGAATATAAACAATTGACATAATGACAAATAATTCATTCGTGTTTTCAATGTCGAAGGTTTTGGATGATATTGAGTTAGAGGCTATATGCTTACCAAAAATAAAAATGCAATATAATACATATTAATAGATTGACCTATATCTATAACTAAATCATTATTTAATTTATAAAGACACACATTTTGCAGCTTATGAAAAGCACACCCTAAAGAAGCCTTTGTTGATCGTGGCCCATTCAGATATTAAATGGAGTTCACTTCCCTTGATTAAGCTGTTTCGGTGATTTAAGGGAGGCAAATCCATTTAGGTACTAAAGTTCTAAATATAGTTGTCGCCCTTTTACAATAAATTCTGGGATATCGTACATGATCATCGCGCACAATAGTTTATAAATTGCATGTCAAACGTACAACTTGATGCTGTAACAACGGTGGATTGTGGCTAAAATTATTCTGAAGGGTTAGGGTTAGAATTGTGGGTATAAACAAGGAAAAAATCAAAGATATTTCTCAGATCGGGAGGATCCAGTATCGTGCGATAACATCCAAAATGCATCATCAAAACATGATTCTCGATACTCAGACTACTGTTTATATTATATGCTGATCTTTGTGGTGGTCAATTTTGGAAAAAAGATCGTATATATAAGTAAAAATATTGAAATTTGTAAGGGCCGTCTCGATCTGCCCACAGACGATGGGCTGGCTGAAAAGTTCTAAACCTGAAAAGGATAGATCAATTGGGTTTAAACAAACTTTTTCCACCAACTGCAAATACAAATCAGATACATAATATCCTCCAGCAACTGCCAAACAAAACCTTTGGCTAAAACAATTACCAAAGGGCTTAAACTATGCCAAACCCAACATGCCATTTGATGCAGAACACTTTGCGTTAATAGTTTTTTTTTATAATTGACAAAAAATAGTTTTTTTTAATTGACAAAAATAAACCCATCGTAGAAACTTTAGTCACTTTAGACAAAATCAATCAAAAATTAATGCAAAAACAATAGAAACGTTTGATTTTTCTACTTTGTATACTATAATATGTTTCAACATTCAGATCTTAAAGATAATTTGGATTGGTTTGTGGATATAAAGCTTTTAATGGAGCTTTCGGGAAAGGCAGAAACCTGATGGCTACTGGCCAGAAGATGAAACGTCGCAATGCTGACACTGTAGTTTTTCATAAAGAAAAATTTCAAAACATTATACATTTTCTCATTGACAATGCCATATTTGAGGTTGGGGATCAGATAATACAGCAAACTATTTGTTTACCGGTGGGAACTGACCCCGCCCCATTTATGGCAAACACACATATAAATATGAATTCTGCTTTCAGGATCATAAACGAAAAACTGATTACAATGTAGCTAAAAGCCTAAACTATACCTTCCGATACATTGATGACATAACACCTATCAATGATAACGGAACTTTCAACAAATATAAAAGTGAAATATAACCCCCAGAACTTATATTAAATAAAGAAAATTCTGGCACTATAAATCCATCTGTTCTTGACCTGGATATTAAAATAATTAACAAAAAATTTAATGTCGGTATTTTCGGCAAAACGGACAAATTTGGATTAGGAGTAGTAAAATACCCCTCAATTTATAGTAACATACCATATACTACGCTATATGGTGTTTTTTATAAATGTAACGATAAAGAACTATTTCTTTCTAGAATATTAAATCTCTTTATTTTAAGTGCACTGCCAAAGATGGTACACAATTACGTATTTTAAAAGAAATTTTGAAACTTCCATTTCTTCAACATACCAAGTTTTACATTTCTTATAAGTATATTACCGACTACATATTGGATAATGATCCAATTCAATATTTATTCTAAATGTTCTGTAGTTTCCTAATCCTATCTGGATTATCGCCCTTATTTTATGCCTTTAGGGCCCATATAAATGCTCGTTGATAGTATTATTTCTTCAGCATACCGGTACCTGTTTTGCATTTCTTGTAAGGGTTTACGTATTATATTTTGTGCAATTACATTGCTGAATAATTCCAATTAGTTCCTAATTCGATAGCTTATTAACCATTTGGCGTTATGTTATCTGGATTATCGCCCTATTTATTGAGGTTTTTATTACATTTTTCAAACTCTGACATCATTAAATTCATTAGCAACCTACCGCTTTTCCGTCACATCATTCAGTCAGCCGAACATCATTCAGTCAGCAGACGGCTGTCTTTCGAGACTTTTTACATTTCTTCACTTGCCTCTTTGCATTCAGCTTTGTTTGTTTTTTACTCTGTTTTTGTGGTAAATGGAACATAATATACCTCAATTCTATTGAATACTAAAAATGTTTTCTCACTTAACTTAGACTACCTGTTTTCTTTTATACAATTAACCGATATGGTTACCTGTATAGGTAAAAATTTTACTTCAATTTTGAATATGTTTACATTCATATTTCTTGTAACATATAGCAGATTATGACTCATGCTGGCAGTACACAATGGTTTCTCTGGGTTATATTCCTGATTGTTTTCAAATATGAGTGAAGTCTGTGTTACTACAGGCCTGGGACTGTACAGCGCAGTGGACGCTTACGGCTAGCCCCCGGATTTATTCACTTAAATTTTTATGTTAATTTGTTTGTGATTTCTTCGTATTGTGTCTTGTCCATAGATTTGTTTTTGTGTAAATTATGTGTGGTGCAGTCCTCTTGCACTTACTATTGAATGAATCATAGACATAAGAACTGCAACTGTGGTGTTATTATTGTCTTCGTACCAGACCATCTTGTGAACCTACCCATTGAAATCATCAGAAATGGACAAAATTGCATAGGGCAGTCATCAAGTACCTGCAAGTTGAACTGAAAAAAGGACTAACCCCAACACAGATACATAACATGCCAATCATCATTTTTCTAGCAATGATGACTTTTTTTTAGGGGCTGAAGAAAATTTCTTCCTCCTGACCGGCATCCAGGCCTTGCAACATCGTTGGCAAAAGTGTGTAGGCCTACACCTCAAAGGGGACTATGTAGACAAATAAATGGAAACCATCAACTTTGTAAAGGTCTTTCACAGATAGGCTTAGAACTTTTCAGCCAGCCCTTGTAATTTCTTGGGGAAATCATTTTAAGTTTCTACTGTTGATAGTAAATCTGCCGTAGAGACTATACCAAACTGTATGAAAACAAAGCAACAGATAAGACCATGTCTGCTAGTAGACTCTTTATTTCTTATAAAGATCACAAACTGTACGATAAATAAGAATACATCAATCGAGGTATTGAAATATAATATTAATCATTTTTCAAGGATATAAGAAAAAGTATATTTTCAAAATCACAAATGCAGGTTTTCTATTATGCTAAATTAAAACACATGAGAATTTACAAATTTTACATGATTATAATATATACACTTACACACCTTGGGATGTTATTTGCTTTGATCTCCCATGCATGTTGTTATGAAACGTATCAACCTGTTGTGATGTCATCAGAGGGTGATATCTGATATCACAAATTCTTTCTTTTAACATTTTATTCACCTTTTTGTACAATGTTGTCAAACGATTCGGAGGATGAACTTTGTTAGGCCCATGTTACTTAGTTTCTTCACATGACTGGCGTGGTTTCGATTCCTCGGTTGTACGTCACAGGGAGTAGGGTCGTCTGTCCAACATCGTGGGTTTTCTCCAGGTCCTCCGGTTTCCGCCCACTGCTAAAGACCCATACGCGCAAACAAATTATTGAAATAAAATTGAACCATGCATTAGTCCCGAAATGACCTAGTTTGTGTCAAGTGGACATTAGACATTAAACCCTCTCTCTCTCTCTCTCTCTCTCTCTCTCTCTCTCTCTCTTTTCATCTGACCATCAAGAACTTGTCCAAACTCTCCACATCAGTTTTATTCAAAAATCTTTAAATGTGAAACTATTCCCATAACTAAATACGGAATTCGGTGGGTAATATTCATCATTATATTTTGCTTACTTCCCAGTCAAATGTAGATATCCAAAAAATAAGATCTTAAATACTCATATCTTCCAGCGCAAACAGGATTTTTTGCTCACTATCATGTTTATGATTCCAATACACTGACCAACTGTTAAAACAGTTCATAGCCCACTGATTTCTGGGTAAGGTATTTATGGGCACGGCATTATTGGCACATTCAGTGACATCTTGTAACTTATCATTTGTAACTTCCTCAAAATCCAAAATATCCGAGTACATTAAATCCTTGTTAAATATTTTCTGCATAAATTCTGCACTTTGACTAGCTTTAAATAATTCACTGTCAGAATCTACATTTTCTTTTTCAACCATAATTTCTACATACTCATACTGACTTGCTTGGATCAGTTTGTCCTTCAAATCGTTTAACAACATTGCGCAAAATGAATACCAGTTTGTGAACACGTGGTTACTAAAATGTAATGCACGTGCAACTTATGGCTTGTTTTCTTAATTTTGTCCTATTGTCCTTCACATATCAACCCTCGATTAGGGTAATATTTATCTCATAAATAAATGTAAGGCACTATAAAATCTTGTCAGTATTCAATATGCCATTATCATACAATATTATTTTGTAGAAACTAAAGAATACATCAATATTGCTAATAATTATAGGAATGTTCTTTTTAGTAGGTGAAAATCTCAAATTAAAGTGTCATATGTTCTCCCAAATAATAGCCCAGGGGGGGTCAACCTAGCTGAAAAGTGTACCAATTTTCTCCTATATGGTATCAATGCATGTATATCTGGTGGGCGTGGTATTCCACGCCCAAAATGCCATGCCCCCCAACTAGTTAGATTAGCTCCAAAGTGTATCACATGAAAATCGTACAGCAGTGTACCGTACATCTTCAGGTATTACAAAAACACTCTGACACAGTGCCCGTTAAACTATCCTAGTTGGGGGCCGTGGCATTTTAGGGCGTGTCTGTTCGGGGTAACCCACCACACAAACTGTCTGGCAGTGGTCATTCATAGGAGAAAGTTGGTACACTTTCCAGCTAGGTTGACACCCCCTGGGCTACCGCTCTATAAATAAATACATAAAAATATATTTGTATTTCAAAAATTAATACATTTTATAATTATCTTCTATAAAGCAGCATTGTTTCGTTAACTTGTAACTTTTGGTGAAAGCACAAAGAGAGCATCATCTAATACATAGAACGATTTACCCATATCTCCTTCACAAAGATACGGTACTCGTGTAAATTTGTCCACATTAAAACCTGCTGGTTCAAACACATGTTTAATTAAACTGGTAGCTTGTTCTTCAAAACTACTTCCTTCAACATGAATTTTTTCTGTTGGTTGGTGATCTGAAGATCCTTTAATAGAAAAAAGGATCATTTTTCTTTTGTATAAACTTGTTGTTGTACTTAGGGTTAAACGTCCGCTTCCAGCGAAGGTGATATCGCAGACAAGTTGTCTTACTTTCATTTTTTTATTATTATTATCTTAGCGCATGCGTCTTTCCTGTGGGAGAAACCGGAGCACCTGGAGTAAACCCACGAAGTTGAGAAGACATCCCTATCTCCAAGCCATAAACGCTCGCACCAGGGATCAAAACCACAACTCCAAGCAACAGAGGAGAGCAGTCACCTAGAGGTCGAAGCGTGACACTCTAGACCAATAGACCAGTGATTCTCAACCAGTGTGCCGCTAAATTTTGAACGGCACACTTAAAAAATTTCTCACTAAAGAAGCCCGCTATTTAACTGATGAAATTCAAATGACTGCAATAAATTAAGTTCAAAGCTGTGTTTTTCTTTATTTAGTTTGAGTCATTCTATGTGTCTATGACTAATCTGACGGTTGTATACCATGTTTTTATTTTGCAAAATTCAAATATTTTTCATATATAGTTAGCCAGGTGTGCCGCTATTTTTTTCATGTGTTCCAAGGTGTGCCGTTGGCAAAAAAAGGTTGAGAACCACTGCACTAGACCACCACCCCCCCCCCCCTTTTGTATAAATGTACAGGTATTTTATTTATTGTATAATTAATACACAAAAGGTGCTAATTAATGTTCAATGATATATGCTGGTCTAGATGTTAGTTACTTTACAGGGGATAAAGTCATAAATCCTAAATAAACATTTTTGAATACACTATACCCAAAGCACAATTCCCATTCAAGCAGTGTTTATAGCTCAATACACAAAATTGATTAAGCATATTTCACATTCAAATAGTGTTGATAGCTCAATACACATTACTGTATGGTCATTTTATATACACATCAATTATGTGGAATATTTGCATACCATATCACACCGTTCCATGCAGTGTTATAAATCATATATTATATTATGTTCTGACCAAATGGTATAATACTATCAATATTTAAACATTACCCAGTAAAAATAATTATGAGATCATTACATAGATAAACACAAAGTTCCGAACTATTCAAAAATGTATGTGAATGTTGTATTTACATGTCTACAATCTATCACTATTCATTTATATTAATGTATACTTATCTTACAACATTGTCGCAACACAATTTTCTAAGTCCATCAATGCCAATAATATAAATTATTATTTAGTTGCAATTCTTTAATGGTATTCATCCTTTTTTTTGAAACTTTTTTAAGATTTATCACAATTTAATACTAACCTTCTTCAACATATGATGAAAATGGTAAAACCACAGCTACTAAGGCACGACCTCCACCTTTTCTCAAGGACTTTTTAATCGAGTGAAGAATACTAATTGGTTTATCACATCTATCCAAAAGGTTTAAACAACCAATCAAATCATATGTTATATTTCCATTGTCCCAGGCATCAATATCTAAAACACTGAAAATTACAACATTATAGAATTTTAAAAACACTGCATGATGAAGATACAGCTTTTCTGTCAACAACCTAGCATATATGAATTATGAAATCGTTATTCCATGTTTGATACACATATAACCCAGAGAACTGATATGTGTGAGGCTTTTTAATTTACCTGAAATTTCTTTCTTTTAATCTTTTAATCATAACATTAGAAGCTTCTGTTGCATAAACCTGATTAAATAAATGTGATAATTTCTGTGTTATTTTCCCATCGCCAGCACCTATAACAGAAATCAGAAGTTAATTACATGAAATTTAAATTTTTACAGTTACACAAATGTAAAACATATTCTTGAGAAACGCAAATAGTTTCTATATCTTTATATATTTTTTTTTTTCTCAAAGGTAAACTTCAGATTGGACAAGAGTGTACAGTTATAGCTAATTAAAATAAATTACCTAAATCAAGGAAGTTCTCTGCTCTCCAGTCATCTGTAATGTTGAGTAAATCTTTAATCTGATTTTGTGAAAATATAAACATAGAACCTCTATCTAGCCATCTGAAAATACACAAAATCAATTATAATGCAGAGTCTGTTTTTTATAAATAAAGAAAAGCTTTATATTTAACAATTAAGCTTAAATCTAACTTATGTATCTGATTCATGCTGAAGTGAACTTACTGTACATTAATTTCGGAGAATTGTTCTTTCAAAAAAATTATTTTCAAACTAAGAAATATTATTGTATTAAAAGCCTACCCATTGATTGATGTTGGTGACATAAACCAACTGAGAACTGAACGAGCCATTGAGAAATATAACTGTGTAAATATATAATCTGATTTTTCATAACAATTTTCGAGAAACAAACTGGTTTCTGTGTCCTGATGACAAGGCATAAATTTATCTTTCAACTCTTCTGGTATTTTATCCACTTCAAACCGATACCACTGAAAATAAAACATATATTATTATTACTAATAAAGATTCTACAAAACTCTTGTTACTGTAGATTAGCATTACAAAGTTTTGCCCCAGACTACATAACAGAATTTATATCAAAGCCACATTACTGTCAATCTCTCTGTTCAGAAGATAAAAACCTTCTTGTCATCCCAATATCCAACATTCAAATGAGTAAACGATTCTTCCCATTCTCTGCACCTAAATTATGGAATTCAATCTCATTGAATACTAATAGCAAACTGAAGAACTCTGAATCAATTGACATTCAAACAAAGACTCAATAACTTATTTGTTCCAATATACACTTTGGATAAATGGTGGATCTCTTACATGCGCCTTTGGAACCATTCATTTGGTGTTTAGGCGATATATAAATACGTTAATGTTAAATCTATATCACATCCTTGAAATTCCACGCATTTTAAAAAGAATCGAATTAATTTTAAGTCATCTGAAATAATATTAACCAGAATAACTTATAATGATAATTCATTTTGTAGAAAAAAAAATTGATAAATAACCTTTGACAAAAGAAAGGACATTAATAGATACGGTACTTTGAACTATTATACTATGTCTATAGTATTCATAATAACACAACTTTATGGATTTACTACTTCTTGGTTTATTACATGCAACGTTTGATCATTGCTTGATAAAGATACCTGTAAGAGTATTGAAACGTTGCATGTAATAAACCAAGAAGTAGTAAATCCATAAAGTTGTGTTATTATGAATATTATACCTCTACTTCTAAATGTCATTCAAGGAACTTATCAAACATCATTATGGTGATGAGACAAATAGGATTATTAATGTGTTTAAAACTGTGCATAACAAACTGTGTAAGACAAATAACAATTTGACTTTTTTACTAAGATGTCGCGACAACAACATTATTCCCAATGGGTTACGGATCACTTCTCCTATTCAGTCTGCAACAGCTAATAAGATACTAAGAAAAGCAAGTAGCAAATTAGTTTTAGAAAGAATTGCATATAACCGAAAGAACAAGCAAGAACTGATTGTGAAAGAGAGTGATACTAGACACATACTAGAACATATTTTACAAAATGACCACTTAGATAGCCTTTTATCTATGCAACAGAAAGCAGATACGAAACAGAGTAACCAAATTAAAAGCCGGCACCAAAATAAATTTAATAGATTAAGTTTCATCAGTAGAGGTGAAAAGAACAAGAATAAGCCAGATGATAAAAATGTCAAAGATTACGTTAAGAGAACAGTTGTGAATTTATCTTCTACCAACTTAACAGAACCACAAACCGCGCTACTAGCAAAAGGGTTAAAGTTTATCCCAACTACAGCAAAAGTACCTAAAGAATCATTCATAACGCAGATAGAACAAGGACTACAAAAGCTGGCCCCGGGTGGTAACATTGATTTTACTAGACACCAAATTAAAAATTTACTTGTGAAACCTATCAATCAAAAACCAAACCTAACTAAAAACGAAATTAAGGCCATCAAAGAATTAAAAGACAATAAAGAAATATCTATTGTACCAGCAGATAAAGGGAAAGCAACAGTGATTATGGATACAGATCAATTAGAAATAATGGTGTCCCAAACCCTGTCAGATACAACAACCTATAAAAAGTTACCTAAAGATCCAACCCAAAAACTAGATCGGAAACTAAAAGCCACCTTAAAGATACTTAAAGAATCAGGTGAGATCGATCCTGAAACATATGAAAAGCTCAATATCTCGCACCCATCAACGCCATATGCCAAAGCTCAGGTCAAAATACATAAGAACCCGGTCAAAGTTAGATTACTGATTTGCTCTAGAGGAACTGTATTCTACAACACAGCCAGATACCTATCAAACGCACTATCAGAATTAGGAAAGTCAGCAGAATCATACATTAAAGACAGCAAAGAACTTCGAGGTAAAATAGAGAGACAATCACAACTAGGAAAACTGATCAGTTATGATGTAGTGGACCTATTTACCAGCATACCAATCGATGAAGCCTTAAACTGTGTGAGATCGAAAATCCAAAGTCAAACAACAAACCTCAATACCAGCATAAGTCCGGATAGTATAATGAAATTATTACAATTATGTATTACATCTACATATTTTACTTGGAAAGATGAAGTGTTTGAACAAATCCATGGTTTACCAATGGGATCACCAATAAGTCCAGTTATCACCGAAATATATATGACAGCCTTTGAGCAAAATGCCCTGATAGTATCCCCATTCCAACCTAGTATTTGGCTTAGGAAAGTGGACGATGTGTTTGTTGTTATGAAGGAAGAGGAAGATCACCAACTACTACTCCACCACCTCAACTCAATCCATCCCCGAATACAATTTACAGTTGAAGAAGAAAATAATAAACAACTACCCTTTTTGGACATCCTAATTGATAGAAATGATGATAAATTAACTACAAAAGTGTATAGAAAACCGACTCACACAGATCAATACATTAATTTCACTTCAGCCCACCCAACAACAACCAAGGCAGGAATAGTTTCGATACTTACCAGAAGAGCTCACAATATTTGCACTGATGACAAAATTGAAGAAGAAATTGAACATATTACTGAATCTCTAACCAAAAACAACAACTACCCATTAGAATTTGTCAAAAAAGTTATTCATAGTACCACAGAAAAACTGAACAAAGCCCCAAACGTGACAGGTAAAGAAAAGGCTCCAATTCATATCAACATTCCATTTATAGGCCCAACAAGTTATAAAATTAAAAGATTACTAACTAGATTGCAAATAGATGTAACATTTAGTGGGGGGATATCATTAAAATCACTTATCAACGCCCATGGGAGAACAAAAATACCAACAGTGGACCCAAAGGGTATAGTTTACCAGATCCAATGCGATTGCAAATCCATTTACATAGGCGAAACATGCCGACCATTATCAGTGAGACTCAAAGAACACAAAGCAGCAACTAGACGTATGGAACCAAACAAATCTGCAGTAGCCGAACATATTATAAACAATCCTACCCATAACATAGAATGGGACAACACCAATGTGCTTACCAAAAATATTAAAGTATGGAAGAAAAGAGTTTTGTGGGAAGCATTAGAAATCCGAAGACAAAAACCAAAAATGAATAAAGACAATGGAAGAGCCATTTCTAATGTATGGAATTAATTATTTTGTTAAGCAAGTTATTATCTATTATTGGAACTATTTATAAGTATTATACAATAGGATACCATAAGTATCAATTATCAGTGAAGTAAAATTAATATAATTGTTATCAGTGGAGTGGATCTATAAGTTATTATTCGTATCAGTGGAGTGGAAATTAAAAATTTTATTTATCAGTGGAACTATTATTTATAAGGGCTACTATAACTTATTTATTTGTTCTATTGGAACAATAATTAAAAAATTTTCTATATAATAATATGGTAAATGTATGAGCAAGAGGGGGTGGGTTCAACCTAACTAATTATGCATAATGTATTGAAATTAGTCATATTAAATATTTGAAGGTGTGGTTAATGGGTTTTGATTGCATTTTAGCTTAGGCGGTGGCTTCAATCCCCACTTTTAACACCTTAGATTGAAGAAAAATGGTAAAGCCATACTCAAAGGGGAAATGTTTGTTGTTATAGTCTTAATTAATGTTATGTTTTTATTGTTAAATGGTTCTTACTCATGGATGTACTATAAATGTAGAGTTGTTATTCATTATTGATCATTGCTTGATAAAGATACCTGTAAGAGTATTGAAACGTTGCATGTAATAAACCAAGAAGTAGTAAATCCATAAAGTTGTGTTATTATGAATATTATACTTCTACTTCTAAATGTCATTCAAGGAACTTATGTCTATAGTATTTATTAGTCAACAAAAATGAAGTTGCTATCACAGAAATGGCAAAAAAGTATTTGAATAACTATTTACGTATGGGTGTGTATCTTCTCTGTGTCGTTGATCATCTAATAGTTTGTAATAAACTGTTCTAGCTAATGGAGATCGAAATCTGCGTCCTGTCCATTCACCCATTACATAACTTTTGGTTCTTTCAAACAAACAAAAATCAAATAAAAGTATTAAAACAATAACAGATAAGAATGTTTGGAATGTTATTCCTTTGATTTTAGGACACAGATTTTGATTGAAAGCAATAAAGTGCATTGAATCAATATAGATCTATGAGGATCACGAAGTATGATTATATTTCTAATGTAGTCCTGATGTCTTTCAGAAAACACATTTAAATACCGTGAAAATAAAAGAAGTCACTATAATAATAGCCATGTGTACAATGTTTACAAATTTATGTTATTTCCGGAATACTTCGCCGGACATGTCGCATTCGGCTAACATCGTCTCTCAATACGCCTTGTCTCAAAAAGCGCATGCGTTTGGGCTAGGATTCTGGACAAACTATTAAAGGACAATATCGGTGTCAGTCATTATCACATATGTGATATGGAACTGGTTAAACACGTTCCAAATATAATTTTAACACAAAGATCATTGCGCCGATAAATGCGTTGTGGGGCTTTTAAGAGAGGGAAGTGACGAGATGTGTTATGAAGCTTTCAAGAAAGGGAAGTGACGAACGCAAAAGGAAAACACGTCGAGCTACCCTTCTATATATAACTAACTGAATTGATGAGTGATAACAGATTCACGGGCGACTTTCTGCTCACTAATATTCCTTCGAAGACCGAAAGTGTTTTCCTTTTGCGTTCGTCACTTCCCTTTCTTAAAAGCCCCACAACGCATTTATCGGCCCAATGATCTTTGTGTTAAAATTATATTTGGAAAGTGCTTAACCAGTTATATCACGTATGTGATAATGAATGACATCAATATTGTCCTTTAATTGTATTAGTAGACCTATGTCTCTCCAAGTACAGGCCTCGTAATTTTTGAGCGAACAGTTTCTTTAAGAATACTAATTAATAGATACAACTGTAGACTATGGTGGCTGATAGTGGCCATAAAATCTCACCCTTTTTTTATAACCTGCTATTATAATATAATGGGCGACGGAATACTAGTTAGTAGTAGTACACTGGAGCGATAATTAAGATCGAGATTCCAGAAGCTGAAACTCCTGGATAGAAGAAAACATTGCCACCAAGGTTAAGCCAGTAGAACCGACCCAGTGGTGGAAATGTAAAGTACAACAGTCTATACTTAGTTATGTCGTTTACCAAGGGAAGTGGCATCAGGTGTCCTTTCTTTGCACGGCAGAAAAATAAATAATACCAAATTATAGTGATAGTGATAAGTGAACCCATTTTGGTGGCATCGTGCCGCCTCCGGGGAGCAAAAGCTAATCAAAATTACTTTATTATTGCGGGTTTATCTCTACGACTGTCTTCATTTGCCCGGTTTGGGAATAGCACGCCGCTCTGAAAGTAGTACTAGAAGAGAGAGAAAGAGAAATGTACTTTAACGTCCACACGACACAAACTAGGTCATTTCGAGACTAACACATGGTTCAATTTTATTTTAATAATTCGCTTGCACGTGTATAAGGGGTCTTCAGCAGTGGGAGGAAACTGGAGGACCCGGAGAAAACCCACGAGGTTGGACAGGCGACCCTACTCCCTGTCACGTAGCAGCGGGGAATCGAAACCACGCCAGTTGACTCAATGACAGACCTTATGATACAGCACGCACGTGCTAAACATTCGGCCATCTAACCCCCGTTAAAGGAGTAGGAAAATTCTTTATTGATAGAGTCCGGAAAACGATCCGCAGCGTATATTCTTCAGTTTTGCCTCATCGCTAAAGGGATAAAGGACTAGATAATACAAAATTGGCCTCTTAATTAGATTGACCGATTGTAAGCACTCTCTAAAAGATCCATATGCTCCCCCTTATTTATCTTTTATATAGGCAAATTCTTTATTGATAGAGTCAAGAAAACGATCCGCAGCGTATATTCTCCAGTTTTGCCTCATCACGAAAGGGATAAAGGACTAGATAATACAAAATTGGCCTATTAATATTATTAGATTGACCGATTGTAAGCACCCAAAAGATCCATATGCTCCCCCTTATTTATCTTTTATATAGGCCTACGCCCACATTTTCGTGTGAACATATTATATCGTCATTGTCGCCCCCGTGTCAGTGTGTGTCCGTGCGTCCGTTCACTTATGACCTTTGAATAGCTTTTAGTAACTGGATAGAGTAAGAATATAACACATACTTATGGAAAACAGCTACTGGTGTATTTAGGCCCAGGCAACGTTTCGAAGAGGATTCTCTCAACGTTATTTAACTAATACAGTATTGCAGACATGAGGCAAATGTATAGACAACATAACAGAACCATGCATGACAACAACAAAATCAAAGGCCTGTGACACAAATGGTTAACATATACAATGAAAAAATTATACAACTAATTAGAAACCATACATAACAACTACTAGATTAAAGGATGATTAACATTAAACTATAGAATATATACGTGTATAACAATAAATCAGTCTAACTTGGTGGGAGCTATTCTAGACTAGGAGAAAAGGCAACTATTTATTTATAATAAATTACATGTAACTACTTTATAACAACTAATTAGGTATAGAATTTGTAATTAAGGTATGCAATTGAGATATGGATTTTATGAGACACTAATAAAGAGTAGAAAATAATAATTATTAATGAAGACGTTTAAAAAAATAAAATAATGAACAACAAAGGTGTCCAATGAGGATAATATGTAGTTTAAAAAGCACATAAGATGAGCGAGTTGTTGTTGTTTGTTAGTTGTATTTTAAGTCCGCTTCCACCGAGGTGATATCGCAGACAAAAGATGAGCGAGCAAACTTTTCTGTACATATAGCCAGTGGTCACTATATACACTTTACGGAGACCTCCCACGAGATTTTCAATTACACCCTTAATCCGGTTGATTGGCCGGTGACACCACAGGGACCACACGTATACAATATACTCTATTAAGGTCTTGTCACTATCCATACACACCACCAATTGACTAGAGTGTGTATTGACGGTTCAATTAACACCATTACTGACCTAATTATTACCTGATTATAATTATCTACGTGTAAGCTACAAATCACTATAATTCAAAGCATTTCTAAATTACATACTTGTGGCTGGAATATGTTAGAGTAAATTTTAAAATGACACATTATCTTTGTGTTTTTGAGAATTGTGAAAATTCCAGCAAAGAAAAGGTACATAATATGCCGTCGATTCTCTTCCGTCCAAAGTGAAGACATTTTCGATCATGAACATACTCCATGCTGCAACCATCATGAATCACCAACGAACTAAAAGATGTAACAATTTCTATCAGCAGATTCACCCCAGCGACTCTGGCTGTATACGGTTTGAGAGAACGACTTTAGTATTGTAATCTACTATGCTTGTATCTATGTATCCACCTATGATATATAAAACGTAAAAACGGACTGTTGCATTGTTATAACTAACTGAGAAAACAGTAAGAAGTAAATACACAACGTGAAGGGAAAGCAAAGACGATAACAAGGTTACTAAGATATGTAGTAAGAAAAGATGCATGGGTCGTACATAGGATGTGGTGACCGGATTGTGTTCCCCGCTCTCCGCGTCTGACAGAAGACTCGTGGTGCTACAGGGAAATGGCGGTCTCATTCACACAATAAGATGACTCCAGGAATATGATACAGCTGGCTACTCAAATAGGTAAATAGATCCGCGAAAACCTGGTGAATATGAAGCACTTATTCGACGTCTTGCACGAAGTCAAAAGGTAAATTTGTAGCTTGATAGAGTTTAGATCATCATAAAACATACCACCGACATATCAAAGTTGACTTTTATCTCAGACTGAAGTAAATGTTAATTATAATATTAGAATTATTACTGTTTCTTTCAGGTTTGAAAACATTGATGGCACTTGGAAAAGAAAACCACTGTGGCAGCATCAATCTCTGGATTCCAAGTATAACGAACCATCTCTATTGGTGTGCTGCGACCAGCGACGAAGACGACTCGACGCAGTTACTTTGTCCATCACATCCAGAAGTACCCCCACGAAACCATTTCGTTTCATAAAAGCCGAGAATTAGTTACCTCTTGACTTCATAGATGTTCGTAGTGCCGTCGATAACAGTTTTACACCCATCTAGTTCTCTTCATAGAAAGCGAATTATTGTACAGGTTTACTGTTGGCTTACTCCAATTGATTCTGATCAAAAGGACACGGGGAATATGGCTATTTCGACTGTCTTTTTTTATGGTATTATAAAACAAATTCTAAATTGGATTTTAAAAAGAAATAAATTACAAATTATTTCGTAGTCAATTCTTTTATTTAATTATGGTATTAAAGGACAATATTGGTGCCAGTTATTATCACATATGTGATAGAGCTGGTTAAACACATTCCAAATATACTATTCAAAAAAAGTAGGGGATATTTGATTTTTAAGTGTTATTAAAGTCACCTAATGAAACTGACGAAGAAACAAATGACAAAATGAAATGAAGTTCACATTCATCGATTTATTCCAAATGATCATTAGACTAAGTAAGGCACAGACTGACCATTATAAGGGTAAAATGATACCCGGGGTCAAACAGCAAAGTTACCACAGCATCACAACCAAGTCAGTAACGGGTAAATCCTCCTCTGTTTGCCAAACAAGCATTGATCCGACGTGGCATACTCCTAATGAGACGTCTAAGGTCATTTTGGTCCAGATTGTCCCATTCCTGTTGCAACGCAGCAGCAAGTTCTTGGACATTGGCAGGACGTTGTTGACGTTGACGTAACCTCTGTCCAAGCATGTCCCAGACATGCTCGATGGGGGAGAGGTCGGGACTCAGTGCTGGCCAAGGTAATGTGGTGATGTTCTGTTGTTGGAGGTAACCTGTAACGATCCTGGCCCTGTGACATCTTGCGTTGTCATCCTGGAAGATGAAACGGCGGCCATGACGTCGTGCGAACGGCACAACATGGACTGCCAAGATGTTGTCCCGGTAGTACTGGCCTGTAACACGCCCTGCAACAACATGTAAAGCCGTTCTTCCAGCAACAGTGATGCCTTCCCACACCATAACAGAACCACCCCCAAATCGATCATGTCTGATGACGTTAACGTCTTGGAAGCGCTCGTTTCGACGACGCCACACCCTCCTACGTCTGTCCAAAAAATCAACAGTGAACCTTGACTCATCTGAAAACATCACATTGCTCCAGCGTCGATTATCCCAGTGTTGACGATCCCTACAACAACGACGTCTTGCCTGAATGTGATGATCTCTCAAACAAGGGATCACACGAGGACGTCGGGCGCGAAGGTGACCCCTATGCAGTCGATTCCG